CTTAGTTAAAAATCATACCCCCCCTCCCCCCATGTAATGTTAAGGAGGGGGTTGTGGGAAGTTTTGTTCACTCTAATTAACCCTGTCTGTACTTTGCTGGAAGATTTCATTATCATTTGTATTAGTAAACTAGATTTGAACACTGTCTGTCCTAACAAAAGTTTAAATGCTTAGAGGGTCATTCACAAAGCTGCCGACGGCAGCCGAGTGAATAACCCAGCCGAAGTGAAGTGAGCCGAACGCAGTTCGACTATTCACTTCACCCCTGTATGGCTGATTTTAGCCGTGCATCAGCTGAAATCAGCCATACATCTGCTGGCTTTGGCTGCCTTCGGTCGGCTAAGCCGAAGTACAGAAGGAGTTCGACTCAGCCGATTCAACATCTGGATTGGCTGAGCCAAAGCTCCAGCAGCTCACTCGCTGCCATATTCTCATAGGCTCAAAGACTAGATTGCTAAATGAGTTGAGAATCAAATGTGTGATTATTTACTTCAATTATCCAGTCTTTTATAACGCAGATTCCTGTTTATTTTTTTCTACTGCAGATGATTAGATAATTAAAGTGACTATTCACACAGCAGATTCTCTATCCCTGCAGTAAATCAAACACGTTATTGTAACTAGGATGAGCAATTACAATCACGTTTCAGTATCTTACACCATCAGAAACATTGTGAGGGGAATTTATCAAAACTAGAGCAGAAAAAATCTGGAGCAGCTGTGCATGGCAACCAATCAGCTTCTCTCTTTCATTTTCAAATCTTAACTGAACAACCTGAAGAGAGAAGCTCATTGGTTGCCGTAGGCAACTGCTCCAGATTTTGTCTGCTCCAGTTTTGATCAATTCCCCCTTGTGTTTGTGCCCATTTCCTAAACTACGTCATGGTGAATGAAATCATAGCATAAAGAGCACAGTTGGGTAATTTAGAAGTTAGCACAGCATCAATTATTATCCTTCTTGTAAACCAAGCAGTTTTCCCAGTACTCAATAAGCAGCATTTCCAATACTTCTCATTGAGTTGTATTTGTTTTAGCAAAATTCAAAGATTATATTGCTTTTAACAAAATGTAAGGATTTTTTCTAGTGAATTACAGTCAAGAATTAACTGATACTGATGAAACAATCTTCTTTGTATATTCATTTCACTATTGTGCTTATGTATTTTGGGTACATGATCTCCACAACACTTTGCAGTAAGCTATTTAAATGTTTTCTAACAGGTGTATGCATCACTATAATATACACATACCCTAGAATATCCATCGGTTTTATTAAATGTCTCTCCATGTGTAAGGTTTACATACACAGACCTTTTTGGTGTACCTATGAACAAGAAATTTGCAGTTAGATTATTAGGTTTACTTGTGTATTCATCTTCAACAATTTAGCAATGACAAACTCTATATAGGTGCGGGGTTTGAACTAATAGCCTTTTCTCAAACTTGTAACTGATGTTCCAGCTTTTCTTAGTGGTGCACTTATAAAAAGCATAAGAGCTGTATTTCCTCATCTTTATAAAAAAAAAAAGATAAGGTGGCAATGGTAGGATTTAGGCCAGGTTCACACCATTTTCCGGACCAAATCTGGAACGCGGTGCATTTTTTAACCACAATTTTACCATGATTTTACCACGATTTTGCCATGTTCTGGAGAGGTTTTTTTTCTTAGCTTAAATTGGGCTTTCAGGTGTGGTCCAGTGCGTTCCAGTGCACTTGCATGCATTTGTATGCGTTTCCATGCGTTCCAGTGCATTCCGGACCAGACAAAATGAGACAAGCAGTAAAAACGCAATGTACTGTGCTCCAGATCTGGTCCGGAAAATGGTGTGAACCTGGCCCCAGGGCCGGTTCACACCACAAACAGTGCGATCCAGAGCGGTCAACCTCTGGAACGCACTGTATCGCAACATATCTGGCTCCCTGCGCTCTGGGGCGGGAGGGGTCATGGCGATGCATTGAAGTCAATGACATTGCAGCCACGCCCCCACACCTGCAGTGTGGTTGTCTGCACCCAAACAATTTGGAAATTAGTGCCTGTATTCCGGTCCAGGGCGATCTGCAAAAATGCTGCACTATTTTTGCAGATCGCACTGGACCTGAACACACAGGGGCGTCCCGAGGCTGGGTGTCACCCGGAGCAGTTACCGGGTGATACCACGGCGTGATATCACCGCACATGTGCGTGACGTCACCATTCGTCACTGTCAGTCATTTTGGCGTCAACCCTCCAATGGTGTCACCCAGGTGTGGGCCGCACCCACCCCTTGTGACGCCTCTGGGAATGCAGGCACTGATGTGCAATGCGTTCGGTTGTGAGCGATCGCACTGTGGGATGGGAGTGTGGCTGCACCGCCCCTCTCCCTCCCGCCCCTGAATGTAGGGAGCGGGCCGGGTTGCGATATAGTGCGTTGCAGAGGCTGACTGCTCTGGAATGCACTGTTTGTGGTGTGAACCGGCCCTCAACCTCAATGACCACACAATTAGGAGTCTTTTCAAATAATTCATTTATTTATGCTTAAAAAAAGTCTATATGATATAGTCCATTTTCCAAAAGCTAGATCCTCCTACTGCACAATTGATGATCACATTAAAGCACAAGCTTGGTGTATATATTGTGATGCATTGTAATGACAGTTTGAAGCACTAAGGGCCTATGTCCTCCATTTTGTCTTATTATTGCTGTAGCAATCAGAGATAGAAAAAGCCTCAAGCCACACTTAGGGGTCTATTCACGAAGCTGCCGAAGGATCTGGCTGTAGCTTCGGCCGATCCTTCGGCTAGCTTCGGCCCCAGGACCCCTTCGGTTCAGTAGAACCAAAGGGGTGCTGTACGGGCTATTCACAATAGCCCGTACAGCTCCCGATCATGGCCGAGCGGCTCAGTCGAGCCGAACGCATATGCATCGGCTCGGCTGAGCCGTGCTGAAAGCCGAAGCTGGCCGAGCGGCCGGCCATTGGCCAGCCTGCTTCTGACAGCTGGGTGGAGCCAGCCGTGATCTTACGGCTGGCTCCGGCCACTTGCAGAGAGATCAGGTTACCTGCTAACAAGGGACACTGATCTCCAAACAGCTAACTCTCCCTGGCACCCCGGGAGTCTCCTGCTCCCCGCCGCCAAGGAGAGAAACACTGCTGTGTAGAAAAAAATAGAAAAAAAAAAAGAAACAAATTTCCCATTGAAAAGCATTGGGCCATTACTATTGGCTATTGCAAATTGAAATAGCCAATAGTAATGGCCCAATGCTTTTCAATGGGAAATTTGTTTCTTTTTTTTTTTCTTTTTTTTTTTCTTTTTTTTTTTCTTTCTATTCTGACATCGCTCGTGTCAGAATAAAGAAAAAAAAGACACAGCACTGTTTCTCTCCCTGGCGGTCGGGAGCGGAAGGCTCCCAGAGCGCCCGGGAGAGTTTTTTTTTTTGACAGCAGCAGAGCCGCCGGACAATATGAAACTATTGGGCGGAGTTAGCTGTCACTGCTAGCTCCGCACAATCGTTTTCTATTTACTTTTTTTTCTGTTCTGCTCGGTACCTCTGAGGGACCGAGCAGAACAGCCGAGCCGTATGCCGCTTGGCGGCATTCGGCTATTCACTCACTGCTGTTTGGCATCTTTAAGGCCTTGTTCACCAGATCCGGTCAGGTTTCTGCACACGCAGTGCAGTCGGTTGTGCCGCATTTTGGAAGGGGTTTTTGATGCGTTTAGGGCCGGTTTTGGTAAAAAAAAAAATGTAAGCTTAACATGGGCTTTTAGGCACGTGCATGCGTTTTTGATGCGTTTTTGATGCGTTCCAGAGCAGGTAAAATAGGGCTTGCCATTTAAAGCAGGGTTTATAATAACTGGGTTGGCAGGCACAGTAAAAGCCTGAAAGAGTAAACAGGGTGTATTCTCAGCCAACTCCTTCAATTTTCTAGTTCTGTTTTTTGCCAGTTTCCCATCCTGCAGAGATATCATGGGCCTCTCAGTTTTTCTACTGGGCTAAAAGCGGACACATTTGCAATCTATGTGATGTACTCCCAACCACAAAACAATGGAACTAAACTGTTCTCCTGCAATAAAAATGTTTTGCTATGATGTAAAGAACCAACTGGAACAAAAATTAAAATGTCTTAAAATGGGCTTCCACTGACAATAACCCTATTGTGTGCATGGGAGTGGTGGAGGGATTAGACTGTAAATTCTATCAAAAATGGTAATTAATGAGATTGGATACATTTGTCCTGTCAAACACTATAGAAAAATGCTAGTGCTAAAAAAATTATTTCCCTAATGATAGCTGTACAAACTGTCAAACATGAAAACATTAAAGCACTATTGATATTAAACATCAATATAAACATCAATATTTTGATATTTGCAGAATGCACTATTTGTTAGTGTTATAAAAACTTTTACAACAAAATCAAGTAGTGGTTTAGCGCACCTGCCAGTTTTCATTGCTGTCTATGGGGTCTATTCACGAAGCTGCCGAAGCATCTAGCCGTAGCTTCGGCCGATCCTTCGGCTAGCTTCGGTTACGGGAGTCCATCGGTTAATTCGAACCGAGAGCCTGCTGTACGGGCTATTCACAATAGCTCCCGATCATGGCCGAGCGGCTCAGCCGAGCTGAACACATATGCATCGGCTCGGCTGAGCCGTGCTGAAAGCCGAAGCTGGCCATTGGCCGGCCGCTCGGCCTGCTTCTGACAGCTGGGCGGAGCCAGCCGTGATCTTATGGCTGGCTCCAGCCACTTGCAGTGAGATCAGCGTCATGTCTTTGTTGGGTAGATTTTCTCAAGAAAAAACTTTATTTGCTGTCTGTGCCTTCCTGCCCTGGTGACAATCAAACCCCCCCCCCCCTATTCTTGCACAATCATCACGGTGCAGGAAGTGAGGGAATTAACAAACAGAAATAAAAACCTGACAGAAACAGTCATTCTTCCCTACCATGTCCAGAAGAAAACAAGAAAAATGGCTAGAGTTGTGCTGTAGATCCATGTCCATAAAAGCAAATTAAGTTGTAGACTTACTTGCATTCAGTTGGGCTGGGTATCGGTCTTTTGGTGTGGCACAATTTAGACCAGTGTATGCATCATGGCACTGACATACAGGAGTGCAGGATGGCAGGCTCTTTGTACATGTTCCACGATTGTTGCAATAGCTGGAATCACATTCACTACAAGAACAGGATGTGCCATTCCCTGTAGATGATTCAAAACAGTATATTAATGTAGGTTTTACTTAATGCTGACCCTATTAAGATGATATGGAGAATGGGAATTCACAGCTCTTGTGTAACAGGCCTGATATGTAACATGCAGCAGTTTACAAAAGTGGAATTACCAGACACTATTAGCAGTGGCGTCACAAGGGGGGTGCGGCACGCACGCGGGTGACATCATTGGAGGGGTGACACCAAAATTACTTGCACTCATTTTGGTGTCACCCCCCTCTGAAAAGTCGGGCGCTCGGTCATGGACCGAACGCCCGACAGTATCAGGAGAGAGGAGGGGCCCCGGCGGCATACCTTATCCCGCCGGGTGGCTGTCTCCTCCTCTCTCTGCCGGCGTCCATCACCAAGATGGCCGCCGGCAGGTATCAAAATACTGTCGCGTGTGCGGGTGTCACCCAGCCTCGGGACGCTCCTGACTATTAGAAGGTTTAAAGTACATTCCTATGTAAAACTGACATTTTAGGCCTAGATGCATGCCTACTACCTTCTTAAAACAGGCCCTAAAGATTGTTCAATTGTAAGACATCAGCTCCTTCTACAAAACAGCAGATTTCAAACTTAGCTTAATTATTTGCGCCTTCTTATTCTGGCCATATGTACTGTAATGTTTAGGCAATGTCAATGTTTAGGCAATTGTTTCAATTGCACAAAAAAGCCTTTACATCTGGGATGCCTTACTCACTGGTGGTCCTCATTGGGACATTCTGCCCAGTTTAGGACACAATCTGACATGCTTGCAATGGGATAAGAATTTGGATGTAAATATAGGTATTATTGTTGTTGACAATGCTATTATTCTATTGCTGATATACTTGTTAGAATGTTACACGAATACCTATCTCCTGATGAAGCAATTTTATTCTGTAAAACACGTTGAGAAAATTAATGTACATCATCACATATGGTTTATGTCATACAAGATAAAACATCATATGCTAACTGTAAATTACAACTAATGATCAGGGGTTTAAGTACATTGTATAAAACCTTGTGTAATGTTGTATATACATCATACTACAATAGGCAAACTGGGCATCTACTATCATTGAAAAAACTTTTACCAAGGAGTAAAGTTAATATGGATTTTATATTATGGATGGCACCATATAGTACCATTGAAGTCCAATAGAGGAAGTGTTAAGGAGGTTATTCATGTATTTTTGAATTCAGGGATTTGAATAGTTATAATGTCTATATTTATTGCATATATTTATTTTCCCGGCTTCAGATAGATATGTTTATATTTTCTCCACATTTACATATAAGCAAATATGTTCAACAAAAGTGACATGGCATGGGATAAATCATAACACCGTTATGGGCATGGGAGCAATTGTTTAACTTTTTATTAGAAAATTAATGAACTCCAGGCAGGCATAACATGAATGCAGATCTGTATACATCAATGTATCTTTAAATGTATTTTTTAACTCAAGTAGTGTAAGCACCTGAATTTGACTTGGCACCAGCCTCTTGCCATCTACTGCAGAGCAGAACTCAGAGAGTGGGAAGCACCAATGTGTTACACACCCTCACTTTGAATTTCAAATCTACATAAGATCAGTAATGGCCATTTCCCCTAGATGACTGCTATAACCACTGACCCCAAAGTAAGGCACTCAGGTGCAAGTTGTCACACGTATTGGCATGAATTAATACTCACCAATAAATCCTGCATTGCATATACAGTTATAACTTCCCAAGGTATTGCTACAAGAAGCATTTTGATGACATTTATAAGTATTTATGGAACATTCATCGATATCTATAAGAAAAAAACATTTTTTAGTATAGTGATGCTGTACTATAGAAGCCTTTTACTGGAATCAAGAATGTTTATTCACGGAGGCTGAAAATTCCTTTAAATGAAAAGACTAGGGGGTCTATTCACGAAGCTGCCGAAGGATCTGGCCGTAGCTTCGGCCGATCCTTCGGCTAGCTTCGGCCCCAGGACCCCTTCGGTTCAGTAGAACCGAGGGGGTGCTGTACGGGCTATTCACAAAAGCCTGTACAGCTCCCGATCATTGCCGAGAGCAGCTTTGTGAATAGACCCCTAGGTAGTTTGGTATATGAGGAAAAAAGCCTGTAATTATATTTGACAAAACATACCTATAGGCCATGTAGGTATGTATAAAGTGCATGGAAAATAGGACAAATGAACAGCAAATGTGCCGTATATTCTATACTGAAAAGAACACAAATACATAACATCTACCTGTACAATGGAGGCCATCCCCAGTCAAGCCAGATGGACACGGTCCACAGCGACGGTCCACAGTTGTGTTGCTACATGTCACATTGGGGTAGCAACCTTGAGCACACAGATCAGGTGGGTTCTCACAGAATTCTCCTGTATAGTTGTTTTTGCAAACACAACCAGCAATCTGTTAATTAAATGTAAAATATTGTGCATTAATATTTTATTTTTATATAGCCTAAAGGTCAATGTTTTGACATCTTTCCCTCTCCCTGCCTTCTCTGTTCAGAATGGTGTATATGGAATAACAGTTAGAGAAAGTCTAAAAGCAAACAGCTTCTGGAGTGCTCCCCCTTTAAAAACCCCAAAATACTCTGCGTGTCACTAATTTATCAAGCAAATTAGTGACACAGATCCTAATCTGGTTGCCTCTCACTTGGCAATGTCTCTGCAACATGGTTACAGTGTATTTGTGACCAATGCATCTGTATTTCTGGGCAGCTAAGTGTGACAGTTTACAGAGTTCTGAGATAGATTTGTTCCTAAAGTTGAGACATTTTTATTCTAAACAGACACGTAATTAAGATCAGTGTCAGGGTCAAGCTTCATTCTGCTCCAGTGTAATGTTACAGCAGCAGAGGGAGGAATTTATAATTGATGCTGTAATCTTGTAATACAGCTATCATATAGGGGTCTATTCACTAAGCTGCTGTGAAGGATCTAGCTGTAGCTTCGGCTGATCTTACGGCTAGCTTCGACCCCATGACCCCTTCGGTTCAGTACAAACGAAGGGCAGCTGTACAAGCAATTCACTATAGCCTGTACAGCTCCCGAAGTTGGCCGAGCGGCTTAGTGGAGCCAAAGGCATATGCCTTGCCTTGACTGAGCCGAGGGGAAAGGCAAAGAAGGCAAAGATGGCCATTGGCCGGCCGACAGCGTGCTACTGACGGATGGGCGGAGCCAGCCGTCATCTCACGGCTTGCTCCGGCCACTTGCAGAGACACATCAGCTTCCCCTGGTTACCAGGTAACCAAGGGCGCTGATCTGTCATTACTCTCCTGGACGCTCCGGGAGCCATATGCATCGGCTCAACTGAGCCGAGGTGAAAGCCGAAGCTGGCCGACAGCCTGCTACTGACTGCTGGGCGGAGCCAGTCGACATGTCACGGCTGGCTCCGGCCACTTGCACAGACATATCAGCATCCCTGGTTACCAAATGATGTTCTCAGCAGAGGGCGGGTGCAGCAGCTAGTTTGCTATTGGTTATTGCAAAGTGAAATAGCCAATAGGAATCTAGCTATGCATTCCTATGGATTCTGCTCGGTACCACAGAGGTACCGAGCAGAATAGCCATGCCGAGCTGAGCAGAATAGCTGAGCATGTTTGGCCGACCCGCAGCCACACGAAGGAAGCCGATGTACGGCTGATTTCAGCCTATATACGGCTGAAATCAGCCATACAAGTCTGAAGTGAATAGCCGAACAGCGTTCGGCTCACTTCATTTCGGGTCGGTTATTCACTCAGCAGCCTACGGACCCCTCCCCTTTGCACTGAGAGGAGAAAACTAGTTTGTCAGCCCAAACCACCCCACCTTTGCATTGATAAGGGACTGCCATGTTGGAAATGCAACAGCATACTGATTGTATTACTGGCATTCAGAGATGTAATATTGTCTTTTGAGCTGTAAATGGCACCGCAGTGCAATGTTGGTCTCTATGCTTATGTATACTTATCGATGATATATACATGTAGTTCTCTCTGTATGCTATATAATGCTGTATTCTGATATAATGTTCTTCTAAGCAAGTAAAACTTAATTCAGCATTCCTCAAGCTCTTAGGCTGGGTTCACACCTAGGCGTATCGAATAGCGATGCGCGGTAAAAAAATTGCACGACAAACGCGCGTTTCTGAGGGCTACCTGGCTGTATCCCAATGGTTACACGCGTTCCAATCCCAATGGTTTTGTAGTGCGTTCATACGGCCTCTAATACGCCCAGGTGTGAACCATACCCATAGGAAATAATGGGATTTTGGTGTTTGAGCATTTTGCAGAGCGTAGGAACGCGCTACAAAATACCCAGGTGGGAACCGGGCCTTAGTGCTTTATCTAAACACATAACCAACATGGCAAACCCTTAAAAGTCTGCTCAACCCCAAACATTCAATATAAAACCATTTCAATCTGGATTTCTGGTGGTAATGATATGACATAATACAACATTACTATGCAGGGTCAGTATGTCATATGAAAAGGTCACTTCATATCGTCTAATTTTCATTTAATAATTTAATTCCATTTATTTTTTATTTTTTTTACATTTTGGTATTTTTATTTTCTTAAAACAAGAACCAACAATGTGTAATTACACTCTTCTACAAGAGCACAGTTACAGATCACAAAGCTAGGCTGGAGGCTAGATGAATAGCCTTTGGAGTCAGTGGCTATAAGGTTGAATATAAATCCTGCTGTACTTGTTGGGTTCCATGTCAGAGAACCATTAGCTGTAAAAAAAAAAAAAGCGTTGGAATACAACTTAATTGATATCTGTGTAATACCAAAACAGCTTTATTGGGATAATTATATAAAAGGAAAGGCTTACTAATTTACTGTTTTTGATTAATATACATATCTTAAAAAGTAGCATTCATATAGAAAAGAGTACAGTGTGAAAAAATAACTAAACACATTTCTCATTTTTATAGACTTTTGTTTGTTTGTTAAGAGCAATTGTCTGAATTAACAAAAACTGCCCACTAATGAATGCAAATGTCACAATTATATTATTTAGCTGTTTACTCACTAACATGCTATTTTAACTGAAAAACAACTGATACATATTTAAACAGGCGCAGCTACTCACATAACACAATGTCCGGGTTTGTGTTGGTGTCTGTTGAGAAGATCACATCAGTTCCATTGGAAGAATAATTTACCATAATAGAAGTATTTATGAAGGTCTGGATGGTTGTAGAGCCAATGATATAAGGAGGTATGGCATCTGAAATACACAAGTAATATCCATTACTGACAATTACAACAATGGAAACTCTGAAGACTTGGTAGAAAGTTGGGGGGAAGCATGCATGGGAATAATATTCCTTGTTTTTAAAAAAACTACAAAGGCAAGTTTTTGGATTTAACAGTAAAAGTAACAAGTGCAGGAATTAAACCAATTACTTGTTAGAATGAAGATACTTACTTAAAGTGTCATTGATTTTCTGTAATGTGTCAGCTACAGTTAATGTTGCTTTGCCCAACTCTGTATTGTTGGTACTCATCGCATCATAGATACATTCTAATTTGGAATTGCATGTACTTTGTAAAGCTGCATACTGGTCTGGAAACTGAGTTTCCAAATCACTTAAGAAAACTGGAGTAAAATAACTTCTTCCATTTATTTGCTGAGTTGAAAATAAGTTATTATCTTTGACTTCCCCTGTACAGTGAAAGAAAAAAGAACAGAATATTCAGAATTTGGGACGGATTGTAGAAAGACGGGTTCACATAATGTTAGTTATATGCTACAAAATCATTTCTGTTATTCAGACAGAGACCAATGACTGTTTGGTGAACACATGGCAAAATAGCTGTGATCAATTGTATATGATAACTACTGTTATAGTAATATATAGCATAATATAATATGATATAATATATGATAGATACTGCTATTTGAATAGATATTTAGCAGTTTTTAATAAACAAGTGTGATTACAGGTTATCAATGGTCAAAAATGGAAACTTAATATGTATTTCCATATTGAATTTCCACAAGTCCTATCCCATTCCTGATAACAATATTGATCTGAAAGTTTGTAAACGTTCGTATTGCAGATGCCCATAGTATGTACGTCCTCAATGCTCTGACACAATTTTTCTCAGCTCTGTGAATATGCACTTCCTTGTTTCACCACGCTCACAAAGCCTGCTGTCTGAACTACAACTCAACGTCAGAACTTCCTACAATGTAACATTATAATTTCTTGCTGAAAGCAATACATGATGGACTATGAAGTCTTGATAAATTAAGATTGCATCACATCAAGCAGCAGGGAAATAGACGCAAAGCACGCTGACAATATCGGACGTTGTTGAAAGCAATGGTCAGATGGAAGGCAGCACTCACTACATAATAGGGATTTTTTCAAGAAAGCTTTGATTGCCTTATCAAAAACTATTCTAGTATGTATTCCTATTACAATATGCATTCCTAAGCAAACAAACTCTGTTAAATACATTGCTATTTTTTTTACTGCTTTATGTCCCATTCACATTATATTGCACCCCGCTAATGCATGCTCTGCTATGTATTTTATCATTGGGGTGCCATTTAAGCTGAGAGGCAATGCACATTCACAACATGTTGTAGTGTACTGAATGAACTGTGGCAAAGTGCTTGGTACCTGTATTGCTGCAGAGCACTAAAATCTCACTTAACAAAGCTATTCAGTTGTTGTTTCCCCTTATCTACCTCATATTTCATAAGACCCAATTTACCAAGATGTATCGCACACTTTGTTTACCCTGCTCTGCATGCCGTGGTATTTTATTACTACTAATGCTATTATAACAAGACTTGATTCACTAAGATGGATGCGCTATTATAACAACACTACTTATTTTATCTTATGATTATTTTTTCCTAAAAATGTTAACTTCACAAACATAAAAGTCAGCAAGATGTACACTCTTTATTTTTTTTTACAAGAATTGAACATTAATCTGTACAAAGCCCCATGTTCTAATGCATTTTTATTTTTACCTCATGAAGTGTTATTTAAGCACCACCTCTAATGGCTCCTTTTCAGTCTCTTTCTTTAGAGATAAGCTCAGGTTTGGACCAAACCCAATCTGATCCGAGCTCATCCAAACACCGAAGCTACATGGCCATATTAGGTAAATTGAATTCTCTGCCAAGTGCTGATTGGACGGCACAAAAGGAGCTTCCTTCTGTGTTCGGTAGGAGCTCCTTCCAGGTTCTGAGGACCTCCAGTTTGGACTGGGTTCCGTCAAAACCTGAGCTCATCTCTATCTCTCATAGACAGAAACCCTAAATCGGGTGCTATTTTAGGGGATGATAACCTGCGTGGTAATCTTATTTTACCATATTATATCATATTATTATTATTAATATTTTACAGGTTTTATATAGCGCAGCGCTTTACAATATAAAGAAGACATTACAATCACAATACAATTCAAGACAAGATGGTAAGGAGGGCCCTGCCCATGAGGGCTTACAATCTAAAAGGGAGGGGCAAGTGATACATGAGGAGGTAGCTGTGTGGGGCTGAATTGTTTGAGAATGTGATGGTTGAGTGGTTAGTTTGAGGTGGGATAGGCTTCCCTTAAGAGATGAGTCTTAAGAGATCGCCTAAAGGCAGTCAAGGTGGGAGATAGTCGGACAGATTGGGGTAAAGAGTTCCAGAGGATGGGAGAGACTCTAGAGAAGTCCTGGAGGCGAGCATGGGAGGAGTTGACGAGGGAGCTGGAAAGCAAGAGATCTTTGGAAGAGCGGAGGGGACGGTTAGGGTGATACTTTGAGACAAGGTTGGAGATATAGCTGGGGGCAGAGTTGTGGATGGCTTTGTAAGTATGGGATGAGAAATATCATTGACAGCACTAGCAGTAGTAAAATACCACTGCTTACCGAGGTAACTAAATAAAGTTTGCTATGTATCTTTGTGAAACGAAGTTTTGAGAGTTTTGAGTTAACTGAGGTGTGGTATCACAGGAATAACACCAGAATAAAAGAAAAACAGCCCGATGAATTGAGCTTTGTCTGTAATATTTTATCCACCTTTATGACAATATTCTGTGCATTGTGAGTAGGGTCCAAGTTCACCCAAGCCCACAAAGAACTGTCAGTGACACATCTCCCTCTCAACCCAATCAGCTGTGCCTGGGGCATTCCCCGCCCCTTTGTTATGTGTAGCTGTGGAGTGGGTGGGGAATTCTCCAGCAGCTGATTTGACTAGGAAGGAGATGTGTCACTGACAGTCTTAGCACAGGTTCGGGTGAACTCATGGAACTAGGTTTGCACCAAGTGCACACACATCCCTAATGCATCAAAAAACACTTATGATACACAATACTATGGGGTCTATTCACGAAGCTGCCGAAGGATCTGGCCGTAGCTTCGGCCGATCCTTCGGCTAGCTTCGGCCCCAGGACCCCTTCGGTTAAGTAGAACCGAAGGGGTGCTGTACGGGCTATTCACAATAGCCCGTACAGCTCCCGATCATGGCCGAGAAGCATCTTTGAGAATAGCCCGAACAGCAGTGAGAAGCCTGCTGGAGGTTCGGCTCAGCCGATCCAGATGTTGGCTTGCTTCGCGTGGCTTCGGGTGGGCAATGCTCAGCATGTTCGGCCGACCCGAAGCCACGCGAAGCAAGCCGATGTACGGCTGAAATCAGCCGTACCAGCCTGAAGTGAATAGCCGAACAGTGTTAGGCTCACTTCACTTCAGATCGGTCATTCACTCGGCTGCCCTCGGCAGCTTAGTGAATAGACCCCTATGTGTGCCATATATCTTAACCAACAGCAACTATCCAAATAGTCAATTAGGAGAAAAGTAGAGAAAAGTATTACAAGATAAACCAAGTAGTGGTGATATAGGGGTCTATTCACGAAGCAGCCGAAGGATCTAGCCGTAGCTTCGGCTGATCCTTCGGCTAGCTTCGGCCCCAGGACCCCTTCGGTTCAGTAGAACTGAAGAGCTGCTGTACGGGCTATTCACAATAGCCCTTACAGCTCCCGAACTTGGGCGAGTGGCTCAGTCGAACCGAAGGCATGTGCCTTACGGCTGGCTCCGGCCACTTGCAGAGAGATCAGCGTCCCTGGTTCCAGCTAACCAGGGACACTGATCTCCAGACAGCCTAACTCTCCCGGGTGCTCCGGGAGTCTCCCGCTCCCAGCCGCCCAGGAGAGAAACACTGCTTTTTCTTTTCTTTTTTTTTCATTCTAACACAGAGCCGTGCCTAGCTAGTTGCAAAAATTTAAGTGAAAATGAGAATTAAGTACTTAGCGCTTGTCATAAATTACTGACATTGACGTTACTGACATTAGAAATACTTTTAAAAAGGAACGTATAGTCCCTTCAATGTTTGTTCATATGTTTGTGACAGAGATCAGCTTGATGTAAATTAACTTTGTTAAGGTTTTAAAAATGTGTTTCTATGTATAATTTGTTAATTATATATACAAATAATGGAAACTGTATTTTCCTGTTCTTCAGTGTTACACAATGGCTTTGTCTTTACTGCTCCTCCTCTCTCATTGAAAAGAGGGGGGGAATTTTGTAAAGCAAATTGTGACAGTTTCAGCCTCTTAGGTCATTATTTTTTATGTGCAAATCTGTCTTTTAACATGTGCGCCTCTTTTGACTAGAGCTTGAATCACTTTTCCAATTGCACATGTTTTGCACCTGTTTTGATCTGCACTTGTCCTGCAGCTGTCTGAAACGCAATCGCAACTTAAGAAGTCCCCATGGCCACTTCTTCAAGAACCAACAGTTAAGCTTTTTGCCTGGAGTTACCAATCCTCTTTCCTGAAGTCTATTTAACCTCATTAATAAACAACCTTACACTAGCAACATAAATTTGGTGCAAAGTGCGTCAAATATATTCCGTGCAAGTTCAAACACTCGCAATTGCTATGATAAATTCCCGCCCCCCCATGTGGTCTCTGTATGGCTGATCTTATCTAAATGGAATTTATTAAAATAAAAGCTGGCTATACACCATAAAAAGCACTTGATTCCCCCATCCATGCTAAAGAGCACCTGCGACTGTCAGAATACCCAAACGGTGACTACAGCTGATTGGCTGTAGTCACAGCGATGAGGTCAATTTTCCACCCAGCACCCACCCAGTTGATTGAAAAATCAGCTTTTGTCAAGCCAAGTGGTGCCAGTAGCGTCACCCACAGATTAAATTTGAACCGATTCAGTAGGAAATGGCCAAAATTTGATCCATGTATGGCCAGTTTGAGTGTTTGCTTCCTCTAGTAGCTACTGTGCAAAAACAATACACTTTTCCTTTAAGAAAAAATTATGATATAAAGACTACCACATTTGTATTAAATAAGGCCCCATTTGTCTAAATGCCACCAAGATCTGTTTCTATGGGTTCTTAAAGCCAATCTTGTGTAATGTTCAAAAATGAAATAAAACACTTACATAGAAGTCCATAAGTATATTTATCTGCTTCTGAGCTGTTTGAGGGGATGGTTGTGCCATTTGGTCTCATGAAGTCATCACTCTGGTCATTATTCCAGGTACCTATGAAATGTTACAATGAATAACACACAAGAAATGTATAACGGGAATGAATGTAGACCTGTGAATGCTGGGTCCACGGCATGGTCAGCACTTAAACAATGGATACGTACCTAGTAATCCTTTCGTTTTGTTGATGAACTGACTTGGAAGACTGGACACAGCAGTAAGCATTCCAAAGTATTGAGACACTGACACAGACAGAACACCCTCAAAGGTTGCAGTAATGGAGTCATTTTTAAGGAAAAAGACGCCTACGTTGCTGTTATTAATGTCGGCATCAATGTCTACAAATCAGAAAAACATACACAGTTATTTGTTACATTTATGTTGCACACAAATACTTTTTCAAATAAATGTTAAAAGGAGAACTATGAGGTGAGTGCTTTTCACTCACATCATGGTTCCAGCCGACCAGTGACAATGAGACTGTCACAGGTCGGCTCAGTAGATCGGGAAGTGAGCGAACACATACCGGCGTTCGCTGACTTCTCGATCCTGTCACGGCTCTCTGCCGTGACAGGGGGGGGGGGGCTGGATTCCCCCCTCCCCGCTCCGATATCACTTAACATACAGTAGGTGGTATTTTAAATGCAATGCTATATTTTATGATTTTTACAATTGGAAGTTATTTTTTTTTACTAAAGGTTGTATGTATGGACAGTTGAAGTTACAGAATGCACATAAAACTTATGCATGGGTTATTACTCCCCAGAATATATCAAGCTTCTGTCTGGCCAGTGCTATAATATCTATTCGGTGTCTTTTGAGGTGGGCAGATAAAGGGCCATTTTTGTTGGAGGTTAATAATGCCTTATAATAGGAATGTTCAGATACAAAGTACTGTACTCAATACAAGTACAAGTCAATGTACAGATACTTTTCCAGCTCCAAGACTAGACTAGACAACAATTTAAAAGTTAGGAGGCAGCTGTCATTTGTAAGGAGCATACGGAGCTCCTGGGCTTTGTGCATCCCCTGTTTTATTGTATGATTTCTTTTTTATAAATATATATAAGGGATGCACCAATACAATTTTTTCAAGTACAAGTACTGATAGTTGTCCAAGTACTCACAGATACACGTACTGATACATTTTCATTTATTGTCAATGTGTTTTTCTAAAGCAATAAAGACTAATGATTTCAGGAGAGTGCTGGGGCACCAAAGCCAGGTCCCAGCTGCAACAACTGCGACCCTGCTAGCTCTTGTTAAAATGCCAAGTATCGGCCCTAATATCTGAAAATCCCTACTGTGTATCATAAAATACTGCATTGTAAGCAATGAAGGTTTTTAGTGCTTAACCCCTTTGAGCTGGTGGTAGCTGACCCTTTAAGGTGTTCTTGATGGCGGGAGGAAAGGTGGGCTTCCTGATCATGGGATCAATGTGATTCCATGCCACAGTGATCATGTGATTGGGAGCCCATCTTTGGCATTCTGATCGTAGGCAGTGACTTGGAGCTGCCGATGACACTGCAGTCACTTTGCTGGGGGCACCAACTGTGCGTGCTTCCAGCACAACACAGCAGTGCCGACTGTGGGGATATATGTGGCAGAATGGTGCTAGGGCTCACCATAGATGGACACAGTTGGCAGGAAGTAGTTAAATGAAAACGATATGAAAAAATAATAAACATTCCACATCTATACTATTTTTTTTTAAATAAATGGAATGTTTTGATGAGAAGATTATTGTGATAAATTAAATCATTAGAAGTATAAGGTTCACTTACAAACAATTTACCTCTGTTCATTGAGCAAATGCATTAGCAAAAAAAACAACAAGACAGGTGATGTAGGAGAAAATGACTGGCCTGGTGTAAAGCTGAACCAAGAAGTAGTAAAAACATTTGCCTGGCTATGCAGTGAGGCAGGGGTGTAGGGATCACAGCACTGTCTGAACAGATTATAAATCCTTTGGTAGGTAAAAGAAAAACGTCATATGTCACTTGCTATATTTGAACTGTTTGCTGTTCAAAGCTTGCTGACCTCTAAAATCATGACAATGACCTAAAGTCCTCATGCTAGTTTTATGGATCTTATAATGGACTGCCACCTTTTTCATTTCTACTGTACCAAGGAATTCGTATGTACCCACCTCCTGAGTAACTGAATGACACATTCTGACCATTGACAAGGGTATATGTACTGTTATCACTTCCGAGATACCACTCCACCTGTAAAAAGATCAAAGCAATGATGTTTTTAAATCGTTCTGATGTATTAGTCCGGCATTCATCCTCTGAAGGAAGAGGCCATCCCACCCAGGTACTTGAATGGAAGCCTCCAACAGCTAGCTGCATTACATATAAACCTCCAATTAAGTTTATAGGCAGATTCTCTGACAGCACAGTTGCTGGGATTTCCAGATTGCATTAGCAGTTCCCTAATTGATTTTCCTTGTTGTTTAGAGCTGCTCTTTAAATGAAATGCATAGTCGCCTGTATGTCATTTATTCATTTATTTATTATAGGCAATGTTTCAGCACTTCTTTACCGAAGGTTGTCTGCCTTTTTTTGCCTCCTGCACATTCCTATTGAATGGGATGGGCCTATAGGAAGGTAAGTAGCAGCAAGTGTCATAGTGCCCACTACTATTTGGTTGCAATGACAAGGTTGTTGATTGCTTCAAGTATGTGCAAGCACCTGTAAATACCTGCACTATATACCTGAAAATATTTTGACAGAGTCTTTTTAAAGGGTATCAAAAAAAAATATGTATTTCTATATTAAATTTCCATGAGTTCTATGCCACTCCTAATACCATATCGATCTTGAAGTTTTTAAACTTACTTCTTGAAGATGCCCATTGGAAGAACTTCCTCAATGCACTGACAAAATGTCACTCTGCCCTGTGACTATGCACTTCCTTGTGTTGCCATTCTCACAAATCCTGCTGTCTGAACTACAACTCAACTCATTCCCCCTCTCTCAAAAATAAACACACATAATGTAACATCATCACTGCTTTGAAGCAATGCATGATATATGTAGCTCTCTGTAATAAAAATTGCATCACATCAAGCAGCAGGGACAGAGACAGAAAGCAAACTGGCAAACCAGGCATGTTAAAGCAATGGGCAGACGGAAAACAGCACTCACTACATGAAAGGGATTTTTTTTTTCTCACGTAAGCTTTGATTGCACTATCAAAAACAAGTCTAGTACCTATTCCTATTACAATGCTGATGTTATAACAGGATAGTATATGCTGGGATTTTAGAACTCCTTCAATCATTTAATCACTGTATTCAGTACAGATGCACATAACATGCATAGCTTTCAATGTATAAGGTCCCAGGAGCAACACATTTCTTTACAATAAGAAAGAAATTACTAAAGCACAAATGCAAACAGATGCAGAATAACAAAAAAATTGTAAGGAGGCTTATTTACTGAAGGGGTTGCGGATCGTCACACAATAAACTGAGTGAATAGTAACTTCAGATTTCCAATCATGTGCAGAAAAATAGATTAACAGGAATTTGCTTTTTACATTGTTGGATAATTGAAAAAGATTTTACAAGATTCTCAACTTCAGTACATTACCTTACCCCTAATGCATATGCCTGTCTTTTAGCTTCATAGCTTCATATTCAGAGGGAAAAACATTTCTAATATCTACAAAATGAAGGGATTTTGTTTTTGTAGATTCTACTTATCAGGTCCACATGGGGCTGCTACATCTTTAACATACATTATACTTTTAGCACAGTGTTATAAGTATTTTCAAAGTGATTTGGGATACTACACTAGGGAGTCCATCTAGAGTCATTTACCCTGCACGTTTCTGTGAATTTTCATTCTGTAGGAATGGATGCACAAAATGAACATTCATAGTATATTTTCTAGTCTAAGTCTAATGCAATTTTGAATAGCATCACATAATTGCGCATTATGGCCAACAGATGAAGCTGGAGGAGCATAGGAAATAAATACTTATTTCCTATGTCTTAGCTCCATCTAGTGGCCATAATGCAGTATTTTACATATAGTACATTCAAACTGAAAATGTACCAAGAAGGGTTACCTCGGGCTCCTTCCACATAGAACAGACATTGACAGAGTTTCACAGGGTGCAAATTGTTTATAAATACACCTCTAGGTTTTCTGTTCGCCGCTTATTTGTGTTGTTGTTTATTATCTCCCTTAAGGCCCATTCACACCAATTGCGGTGTGTTCCAGAGCGGCAGCCATTTCGGTCCAGTGCAAACGCAAAAAATGTTGCATGCACTGTGGAAAGCACCGCAATTGGTGTGAATGGGCCTTGTGTATCACTAAAGCCCATAATTGTTTTTTAACTTAAATGTGCAAAATGTTACTTATATAACACTCACAGTAACATCGGCAGTGCTAGAACTGTATTTTACAGCAAATGCTTTGAAGTTTGTTGCCTGTGCAGTTCCAGTTTGCTCTGTACGTCCTTGTAGAGTGAAGGTAATATCACCATCAGATGCATGAACGAGTGTAAAATCTCCGAGTCCATTGAAAGTGTAGCTGAATCCATCCAGGGTTGTGATGTGAGGATCTCCAAACATCCATCCTGTAAAATGTAAAATAGTAAGTGTGTATTTCTGTAAACGGTTTTCTTTTAAACAAAATATGTCAGGTCTGTACTGTGATGTTGACTGAATGTGTAAAAAAAAAAAGAAGAGTAAATAGTTTACCGGGAAATAAAGGTCTGTATGTGCGGCAGTTGATTGAGGGTCTCCTCTGCATGTACATTGAACAGAACTGGGGGTCATCCACTTGATTGCAGCATATGTCATACGCATCCAGTTCAGCGTCTAAGAAGAAATGTTTGTGAACATGAAGACTGAGCTTTGAGGGAATTTAAAATCTTTTACTTTTTTCTTCAGCTATGTATGTGAATGTGCCCAGGGTTATGCAAATAGAATATCACAATGTGCTATTATTTACAAAATACTTTAACCTGATTTGCAGTACTATATGTACCGTACACCTATAGATGCACAAGATTAGACTAAATTATTGACACTATTATTGGCTATTACTATTATTAACAAGAGGAGGGGAAAATGGGGAATATTGAGTTAAATAAATGGTTGAGCGTCAAAAATTTAGGCTGACTGACCATACAGATGCATTCTTGGAAAGGCTATATCACCAGTGCCTTCCTCAGAAATCTCATTTGTACAATCCAAAATATTGCAAGATCTATGGGGAAAGGCATTTTCCCCCTGAGATGATGTGTATGGTCATATGTCCTAGTCACATGTGCCAGAGTTCCAGGAAGTAAAGGAAGATATATAAATCTGATCTTAGTGAAAATGGCCACTGAGAGAAGAAATTAGGAGGAAAAGAAAAATAAGGTATGGAAAGAATAAAAAGCCTCTGTTTGCAGACTGCTATTACATTGGATGAAAGTGGATCTTGCACTAATAAGAAAGTCCGTTTATTAGATCAGAGTCCCCTATTAGAAATCACTGCATGAAAGATTTTAAAAAACTGCAGGGGGGGGGGGGGGCAGTTATTACAGTTATTATATACTCACCATACCCCCAGCTTCCCCACTGCAGAGGGTACTGTCATGCTTCTTCCGTTGCAATCCTAGGGAATGCTGAGTATTCCACATCTTGCAAGAAAAGGCTCCAGAATGGTGCAAGAACATTTTCTTGCAAGATTTAGGATGCTCAGCACTCCCTGGGATCTCACTGGACAAAGCATGATGGGGGCATCTGTGCTGTTTGTACTGCACTGTAAAATGTAAAGTGTAACTCCAGCCAACCATTTCTTTTAGACTTGGATAGAATAAGGAAGGATTAGAACCTTCATTGGGGTTTGTATTGTGGTCTCTGGCCCCACTGTGGAGATTTCCCTTACTTTTTGACTGGCTGACAACATGGTCACAAGAATAGGAAGTGAAGAAAAGTGTCCACAGACATAAAATAAAAGCTGACAGAGGTTCTGGCTTTTCTGACTCTGCTAATAAAAATGTTTTGATGTAGTTTTTTTCCCACTGAAGAAATTATCCTTTTGCTTTGTGTCCTGATGACAATGTTGTCAGTGGAACAGGAAGTAAAGAGAAATGTTCCCAATGGGGAAACAGCAATAAAAACCTGAGAGGGGTTCCATCTCTTCCCAACTTTACCTAAAATTATTGGCTAGAGCTACACTTTAAATAATATATTAAAATGAAAAGTTTAATCCTCTGTAAATGATCACTGTTTCTTTAATTAGCGTAGATTGAATAGAATTGAGCTACTAAAACAGTGTTCACTAATCTTACTGAAAAAAGAGAGGCTGTGATCAGTCTCAATACATAATAATGTCATTGGGAAATGTAAAACAAAAAGGATTTTGCCTTGCACATTATTTAAAGACTGCAAGCAACTACAGGTTCACTTTGCTTAGTGAGCATTCTCTTCAACTTTTGGTAAATAACCCCAAATATTTTCACTTACCAGGCTTTACATATGGGGAGATCCAAGTCCTTTCTTGGAACCCTTCTAGGAACTGATTCCTGCGGTAGTACACGCACCTTACACCAGCATTATGCCGATTGGAAAATGTGCTACGAAGCAAGGTGGTCATGCTGCTCCCACCTATAAGTCCCAAATACAAGATAACAACATAAGAAACATTCAAAATTAGCTATAGTGCCTACGTTACACTGCTGCCACTGAAAATTGCTTGTAAGATAAACATACTGCCTTCAATCAGTAAAGAGTGCAAGGCGCAAAGTGCTAATTCTTAAGCATAGCAATCCATACCAACAAATGTATCATATACTAACCTGACTTTAGCAGGGGCATTTTGATTAACTGTGGGTGGTGCAGGCAAGCAGCTTGTGACGCTACCTGTAGACGCCACAGCAGAAAGTTCAGATGCTTTCTACATGACTGCCCAGAACCGATTGGTGCTATTGCAGTCACGTGTTGATATAATAGAAACTACTTTTTTTATTTCTATTCAAATTTGTAAATAAAGAACATGTAAGGCCATCTTGGAATGTAAAATGACAACTGAAACAAACAAACAAAAGAAACGTTTATATTTAGGCTGATGATGGAATTTCTGAAAATTGGCAGCTCCAGTCACCTCTGTCAATCAATTTTGCTGTAGCAGCCCCTCCAATGTAGATAGTCACATGGGGCAGCTAGCAGAGAGGAAGAAGAATCTATCAATCACATCTGCTAAATCCAGCCAATATGACACTGGAGTTTGTCACATGGGCAGCTAGCAGGGAGGAAGAAGAATCTGTCACTCACATCTGCTGCAGCCATCCCACAAGACAGTAGAGATAGGCACATGGGGCGGCTAGCACGGAGGTAGAAGAATCTATCACTCACATCACATCTCCTTAAGCCACCCCACATGACAGTTGAGATAACTGGGGTGACTAGCAGAGAAGAAGCAGAATTTGTCAATCACATCTTCTGGAGCCACCCCAGAAGACACTGAAGATAGTCACATGGGTCGGCTTATAGGGGAGAAAAAAGAAGGTTAATGATCTCTTCACAGGAAATGACCAGAGCAAGTGAACTGTAGCAATTGCGGGTAGCAATGCAGGAGATGGAAGAACAGCTGTAATAGTGTTTTAACTTAGAAGTATGAAGACCAGGGAAATGGCAGAATCAACCAAGTATTTACTAGAACTGCATATAATAAGGAAGGAAAGGTTAAACACACATGTAGAAAAAAATGTTTTCTATGCAATGACAATAAAAACATTTTTGGGTTTACTGACACTTTAAGAAATAAAATGTTGGTCTTTTCACTGCTTATTGATTAGGGGAAAAAGGTAACAGTGCTCATATTGCAACAATGCAATCCTAATTTTACTTCACACTTGAATTATACATTTTTAATACTCTGTTTTTCTTAAATGCAAACACACAGTTTTAGATTATCTGGTATCTGAATTACTGGAAAGTTACGGAAGGATGGAATAAAAAGATGGGAAACAGGAAAAGAAGGGAAAGAAATAAAACGAAATGAGAAAGTCGAAGAAAAATGGGGAATGGAAGGTCCCGAGAAACTGAAAGAAAGTTGAATATAGCTATGGAAAACAAAGGCGAAGGGAAAAGGATGGAAAACGGGTAAAGGAGAACAAAGATGGAGATTGTAAATGGCTAGAAGGGAGGGGGACAGATGGAGAAGGGAAGGAAAAGACGGGTAGAACAAAAAAAAATCATGACATTACTCCTTAATAGGGGTTTTTTCTATTTTCTTTCTTCCTGGTGTCATTATAACTAACAAGAGTTCATGTGCCCAGTGTTAGCTACTCTATTAGCCCCTATTCCCACCTGGCATGCAGGTGGACACGTACAAAATTGTGCACAAATCATTCATATAATGCGTGTAAAGTGCAGGTCGCCCTTTGTATGCCATTATTGGTGAAATAACGCTAAAGCTTTCAGCTTAAATTGCTGTATGAGCTTCTTTGCCACATTTGTAGTATGTAGGGCAGCCCTTTAAAATGAATGGGCTGTCCTATGCTGATACCCGACAAATGCAGCAAAGTGCGTCACGTTTTCAACCAAAAAATACACACAAGTATATATGTACATGCATATATACTGTATATACTGCATTTCCATTTACAGATGTGACAATACCAGTAAAAGTTTTCATATCACCCAAACTAATAATTAAGTCCAGTTTTATTTTAAAACAATACTACAAATGACATTGAGTAAACTTTCTGTACCTGCTTTTGTTGTTCTGTACCGGAAATCAGAGATGCCTTGCCTGTATAAGCAAGGGCAAGAGAGCAAGGCAGCATTCCATGATGATGGTGTAGGCTGATTATTGTACCAGTTGAGACATGTTATACGATTGTTATTTAGAGGTTTACTGTTCAGGTTATATAACGTGAGACCTCGCAAAACTGCAAATACAGACAAAGCACTTCTGTTCAGTAAAAAATAGACCACAGACCATGAATAGACCACATCATTAGCATATTATTAATTTGATACAATGAGTAGATGAACAATTACTGAAAGCAAGTGGCCTCTAGAAAATGCTTTTTATTGAACTGAAAATGTAACAGTTGTGTGAGCTGCCTATAGCAATAGTAGTATTGTGCGTATGCACAATGTTGTTGCATGATGGAAATGCAATGTCTTGGCACTGGGTTCCACTCCTTGGCATCCTACAGATGCAGCAGGCATGTTCATTCATTTGAAGCAAACAAACAAAATCACAATTGCTAGTGAAAAGTGAAAGTGGCAGAAGAGGCATACAAAAAAAATGTATGCCTACTAGTATTTTTTTCAGACTTCAGTTACATTTTAAAGCTTCAACTTGATAATAACATAGATATTTAAAAAAAATAGAGGCCTATGCTGTGCAAATTTCATTTCCTTAAATCACAGAGTTCCTACAAAATATTTCTAAACTCCTAACTGCACAGTGATTTTTAAATGCTTTACCATGCGTAGACATATTTGATCTATTATGACAACCTATACTATAAAATATATGGTATCAAAAGTAAGTGGGGTTCATATACTAAAGGAGTGGGGTATTTTTTACTTTGGATACCCAGTCATGTGCAGAGAAAAATGAAAAATAGAATTTTTCCTTGCGCACGATTGGTTGATTCACTTTGTTCACTAAGGTATGTGAACAGTCTCTATGGAGTCTATTCATAAAGCTGCCGAAGGATCTAGCCGTAGCTTCGGCCGATCCTTCGGCTAGCTTTGGCCCCAGGACCCCTTCAGTTCAGTAGAACCGAAGGGCTGCTATACGGGCTATTCACTATAGCCCGTACAGCTCCCGAAGTTGGCCGAGGGGCTCAGTCGAGCCGAAGCATATGCCCAGGTGAAAGTCGAAGCTGGCCAAACAGTCTGCTACTAACAGCTGGGCGGAGCTTATCTTACGGATGGCTCAGGCCACTTGCACAGACAGATCAGCGTCCCTGGTTACCACATAACCAGGGACACTGATCTCCAGATAGCCCAACTCTCCCGGACGCTCCAGGAGTCTCCCGCTATTAGATAGCGACTCCCGGCCGGGAGAGAAACACTTTCTCCCAGAAAAAAAAGAACAAACAAAAAAAAACAGCATAGAGATGCATAGCTACATTCCTATTGGCTATTTCAATTTGCAATAGCAAACTAGCTATTGCACCCGCCCACTACTGCTGTCATTCAGCAGATGGGGCCTGAAGTTCTCCATCAGGTACACATCTAGTGATTGACAGCAGCAGAGGGCGGGTGCAATAGCCAGCTTGCTATTGGATATTGCAAATTCAAATAGCCAATAGGAATCTAGCTATGCAATCTAGCCGATATACGGCTCAAGTCAGCCGTACAAGCCTGAAGTGAATAGCCAAACAGCATTCGGCTCACTTCACTTCGGGTCGGTTATTCACTCGGCTGCCTACAGCAGCTTTGTGAATAGACCCCTATGTCTTTCAGTTAAGTATTGTGACAAGCAGGCTAGTGAGAACACATGATTCTAAATTACCTAAACTGTGAGTTAAAAATCATTTCAATTAAAAGTCATGGCATTTAAAGAAGTGGAGAATGACCATGGGGAGAAAGAAATACTGCTCTAGTGTAACCTTCTTGGATGCTAAACGTCCTTCCGTTGAGCCTAATAGATTAACTAAAACATGCATTGAGTATTGAGCCATTGAGGTGCATTGAGCCAAATCTAACAATACCTCACCACACAACAATTGCCTAACAACAAATCTAACAATACCTTACCACACAACAATAGAAACAACAATTCCAATACCTCACCACACACTATATGTGATGGATCACGTTTGAAAGGGCAGTGCTTAAAAACATCAAAACATACTTTAATTTTACTTTCCTAAGCAGAAAATCGATAGTACCCCCAGAAGTACCCCCCAGAAAATTTGTAAGAGAATGAAAGACACAGAAGTTAGAGCCAGGTCCAGTGACCTCACTTTTTTTCAATGTAGATAAGCAAAATATTTTAGAAAACCAATGAGGCCAAGCTTGTGGTGATCCTGTGTTCTTCTATTCTGTCAGTATGCTCCCATTGTTAGTTATATATACTGTACGGCAGCACTGGGCAGTGCAGTAGAACCCCAGAGAAGAGCTATCCTGACTTAAACAAAACTAAGCTTACACAAAACTATTTTCTAAGGTGGCCATAACAGGCAAACTACTTTTGAAGGGTTCATACCTGAATTGTTTTCTATAAATGTGCTTCTGAAAAACCCATCCATGTTGCCACTAGATAAGGAAAAGAAACAATATTACAAAGTTAAGACTATTAATCTGCTGGAATGAATAGTTACTTCAATTATGTTTAGATATCTGTGTAAAAGAAATAAAATACAAAATCTTATCAATGTGTGTTAAATTAGCTGTTATCTATAGTTTGTAGCTATATACAGTATATTGTATGCATTTGACAGAAGCCATATTTGCTTATTACATACTTAGGCTCTGATTCCTGCTGAATGAGCCAAATACAGAGTTCCCTCTAGTGATTAATCTACAAATCTTTGTGTTTAATACAATAACAAAAATATTAAAAAGCAAGTATTTAAAAATGTAAACATTTATTATAAATTAGTTGAAGGCAAACACAACAATAATTATTGTTTTAACCTAATTAACTATGTAACTCAATGAACTAAATAAATTGCTAAATTATGGGTAGTCCCCCTGTGTATACCTAGTTTTACACCTCTCCCCCTAATTGCATAATTCAAAAAAAACAGAAGATTGTAAGGGTTTCTGGAGGGGTGTAAATGACCGTCCAAGAGAAATATATAAGGAAATATGCAATTTATTACTAATACATGCTTAATTGGTTACATACATGATTCAATTAAACTTATTAAAAATCAATCCCTGCAGAGGATACATCAATTCATTGATTGTTTAACAACTCTAAAAATCATTTGATCCAAATTTCCAGATGTAATTTCATAATTTTTCAAAGCATAGCTTAACTTAATAGGCCCCGACGCGTTTCGCCAAAGGCTTCATCAGGGGACCATTCAGGATGAATCATGCCGGGTTGGTCTGCAGTATGAGGGAGAAGTGCCTAGGAAGCCAGTCAGAAGTGGGCAGGATAAGACCCCCCGTTGCCTCCACTGCTTACTTGGTTTGTCACACCTGGGACCCCGGGGTATTTTGGGGGAGGAACCTGATTGCAATAGGCGTCGTCCAATCGCAGTCGCTCTCAGAGCAATATTTGTAGTTGATGTAATTGCTGCTTTCTCTCTGGGGTGCAGGGATTAGCCTGTTGCGTCCCGTGGCATTCCCCTAGTGCGGATCCAAATTTCCCCGCTAGGGGAATGCCACGGGACGCAACAGGCTAATCCCTGCACCCCAGAGAGAAAGCAGCAATTACATCAACTACAAATATTGCTCTGAGAGCGACTGCGATTGGACGACGCCTATTGCAATCAGGTTCCTCCCCCAAAATACCCCGGGGTCCCAGGTGTGACAAACCAAGTAATCAGTGGAGGCAACGGGGGGTCTTATCCTGCCCACTTCTGACTGGCTTCCTAGGCACTTCTCCCTCATACTGCAGACCAACCCGGCATGATTCATCCTGAATGGTCCCCTGATGAAGCCTTTGGCGAAACGCGTCGGGGCCTATTAAGTTAAGCTATGCTTTGAAAAATTATGAAATTACATCTGGAAATTTGGATCAAATGATTTTTAGAGTTGTTAAACAATCAATGAATTGATGTATCCTCTGCAGGGATTGATTTTTAATAAGTTTAATTGAATCATGTATGTAACCAATTAAGCATGTATTAGTAATAAATTGCATATTTCCTTATATATTTCTCTTGGACGGTCATTTACACCCCTCCAGAAACCCTTACAATCTTCTGTTTTTTTCGATCAATGAACTAACTAGAAATACACTAGACTGAACAATTAAGAAGTTTCTTCAGATTTTAATTACCATGCCTTCATTTTAGATTACTTTTTAAACCATTCAGCTAAATGATTTCTCGTTACAAAGTAGTAGCAATCAAAATGTACCTGCAATAGCCCATCAATGGTTTTGGATAGCGCATAGTTAGGTCCCAGTTCATGCCACCATCTTTATATAGCATCAGCACATAGGAGACAGATCCATCCGTGGTCAGCACAGCCTGGTATGTGCTAGTCTACAATTGTACAAAATGACAGAATGTCCCATGAAAAAGGCACTTTCAGGAATGAAGATTTTGCTGTTTGCTGTTGGGCCATAAGAACGATTATATGCAACTTACCTTGTTATCATTTTCAGTTGCTGGATAAGCAGGAGCGTTCTCCCAGGTAATCTTCAATGTCCATTGAGCGTTGTATGAAGCTGATGTGTAATTCTTAATCAAGCCTTCAACTCTTTGAACTACAGAATTATTTCTTGATTGATATTCCTGTTGATTTTTAAAATATGTGAGTTACTAATCAACTATTTTTAAGCTTTTTTTGTATTACTTAATACATCATTTGTCATGGCTGTAGGAGTATTTTCTGAATATGATGATAAAGGACGCATTATATATATAATTATGGCTTGAGCATCCTATTCAAGGAATAAAAGCATTACTGTAGGTAGACTTACTTGGAAATAGGTATTTCCCACACCCTTGGAGAAATCAGCATCATTCCAAAACACAGCGATTGATGGCAAGAAACAATCCACATCGAATCCATTGACTGGAGGATTTGGATAAGAGAAGATGTCATTTCTGGATAATGGAAAGATGATATGCCCATTGTCTGTGTACTGGGGAGAAAATATATAATTACATTTGTTGTTGTGCTAATGCAATATATAGACATTTTAATTAACAACTAACTAAGTAATATGTACTTACATAAAGGAACTTCCTTATTTGGTTTCCAAAGGGAAATCCTATCAATGGCTGGAACAAAGGAGAAGTGAAATCTGTTCCTCTTTGGGCATAGGCAATATCACCAGCACTTGGTCCATATTCAAAAAGCGCTACAGCTGGAACAATAAATTATGTTACAATGCAAAATACTGCTAATGTTCATGTGTGTTAACTGTGTTGAAATATGTTGAATAAAAGAGACATTTTAATCTTACATATGCCAATATCTTTATTTGTAAGTTTTGAATGTTGAAGCTACTTATATGCTGCTTTTATTTTGCTTTCCTTGGTTTTCCCCACCCCCACCACCAATCAACTTGTGAATTACATAATTAAATAAAACCTTTGCCTTTTCATTACATACTTTATTTTATATCAAGTGATGTTATTACTGAGTCTCTGTACTTCACTATACAATGCAGGCAGATCATCGCTGGTGGGAATGGCCATACATAGCTTCCTGAAAACATAGGAATTATGCAAATCTCAAAACTTCCACCTTGGCGAATGGATGTCAGTCTGGAGGGGTGGAAGTTAGGCAGATTGCATATGTGTGCAGACCGCCCCGGGTAATGCCCACATGTGATGCTTAGCCTCTATGATTGAAAACAACTGGAAACCAGTGAATGAATGGGGTGGGCCAGGGACACTCAGGGTCGGAACGAAAGAGCTAGATGATGCTGAACATCCTCCAGCCCTGAAATGAGGTGGGCACTATCTGATTTGCTGCAGCTTCACAGTGCAGAGTGAAATCAAAATAAGCAATTTCAGTACAGGAGAGAAGTCTGTACAACTGTGCAAGACCGAAATTAAGGCTGGCATTCAAATTTAAATAGTAACGTAGACACAAATAAAAAAACAACAACATAAACAACCATTTCATCAGTTTGTATCTTTGGCTAGCATTGCCTTTTACCTGTGGGTGCACTTGTACTCATGGTAGTGGTTGTTGTACTTGCTGTAGTTGTGGTATTGGTGGTAGCAGATGATGTCCTTTGAGTTGTTGTAGTTGCAGTTGTTGGGTTTGTAGTAGCTGTTGTATTTCCCTGAACTGTCACATTTACACCAGATGTGACCAGAGTTGTATTTGTTTCAGGTGCTAGGGTGGTAACTGTGGTCTGGTTTGTTGGCAGTAATGTGGTACTTTGGGTCTGTGCAGTTGAACTGACATCAGGGATGATACCAGTAATGTTTGTGACTGACGCAACAGTGGTGTTTGTTGTCTGGTTTGTAGGCACTGTTGGACTTGTGCCTTGAACTGTCACATTTACACCAGATGTGACCAGAGTTGTATTTGTTTCAGGTGCTAGGGTGGTAACTGTGGTCTGGTTTGTTGGCAGTAATGTGGTACTTTGGGTCTGTGCAGTTGAACTGACATCAGGGATGATACCAGTAATGTTTGTGACTGACGCAACAGTGGTGTTTGTTGTCTGGTTTGTAGGCACTGTTGGACTTGTGCCTTGAACTGTCACATTTACACCAGATGTGACCAGAGTTGTATTTGTTTCAGGTGCTAGGGTGGTAACTGTGGTCTGGTTTGTTGGCAGTAATGTGGTACTTTGGGTCTGTGCAGTTGAACTGACATCAGGGGTGATACCAGTAATGTTTGTGACTGGCACAGAAGCGGTGGTTGTTGTCTGGTTTGTAGGCACTGTTGGGCTTGTGCCCTGAACTGTAACATTTACACCAGATGTGACCAGCGTTGTATTTGTTTCAGGTGCTAGGGTGGTAACTGTGGTCTGGTTTGTTGGCAGTAATGTGGCACTTTGGGTCTGTGCAGTTGAGCTGATATCAGGGGTGATACCAGTAATGTTTGTGACTGGCGCAGAAGCGGTGGTTGTTGTCTGGTTTGTAGGCACTGTTGGGCTTGTGCCCTGAACTGTCACATTTACAACAGATGTGACTCGAGTTGTATTTGTTTCAGGTACTAAAGTGGTAACTGTGGTTGGGTTTGTTGGCAGTAATGTGGTACTTTGGGTCTGTGCAGTTGAACTGACATCAGGGGTGATACCAGTAATGTTTGTGACTTGCGCATCACTCGTGGTTGCTGTCTGGTTTGTAGGCACTGTTGGACTTGTGCCCTGAACTGTCATATTTACTCCAGATGTGGTGACAATGGTCTCATTTCCTGAGGGTGTTGTTATATTGTTGGGTTGAAGGGTAGTAGTTGGAGCTTCAGTTGTCATATTTGTTGCTACAAAATAAGAATTAAATGATCAAAATGTGCCTCTTTAATTTCTTGGAACCCTAAATACAAAGACATTTTCATAAGCCAGCCATTTTCTAACACATGAAAACACCCTCTACATGTTTAGTAATGCATAAGAGATTATATGAACCCTTTATTTTGTAGAAGCACTACAGGAGAGTAGTACTTTTATCATAAAACTGAGGCACTACATTAAAGTAAACTCCACTTTCACTTGGTTCTTATTAGAAGTAATGTATACAAATCTCCCAAATGGATGTAGAAGGAAGAACTTTATATTTTTCAGTGGAGAGGCCACACTAATGAATGTATTCAATATAGTTGTATTACAGATTGTGTGGAGCAAGTATATATTTGCCCTTACACTGAAAGTGTCCATGATGATATATAATATTCAAGGATAAGCCAACTTACTACAACCATAAATAAATACACAGGAAGAATTTATCCAACTACTTCTGTGTGTTTAAATTCAAAACTAGTATGTAAAATGCAGCAGTGGTTTGAGCAAAGAAAATATATGAAATTTGACATTGATGGAAACTTAAAGTGCTAAAAACTCAATATTTCTTCATTGGAGAAAAGTAAAACATCTCTAATGGTGCCAAATAGGTGGCCAGTCACTTGCCAATTATTTGCTATAATTGTTTTTTTATTTATTTATTTATTTATTTGGTCAAACGGCATTTATTTGAAAAAGAGAAGACACCGATAGCCTTCATCTTCGTGATCAAATATACAATTTCCAGGTGTAGTTTCCTATTATGTTAGTGTGAGAAGTAAAACTGGCACACTCATTAATGTCTAAAAACCAACACAGTGTTCAGATATCATACACCGTTCTTCTATTTACCTATACTACTTTTAACATATTCTGTATAATCATATATGGGATCACTGCAGAGAAATTACATAAGTAAGATAATTTATTTCAGCTAAAATAATTGTTCAATTAATTGTTTGTAGTTTAACAAATAATTACAAATTGTTATGCAGCATAAGTAGATATACTGTACTCACCATTACACTGATGGTAGCCATCACCTTCATACCCAGGCATACAATGACATGAGTAGTTACCAAGCAGGTTAGTGCAAGTGGCATTTGCAGCACATGGGGAAGTAGCATTGCTGCATTCATCAATATCTGAAACAAATGAGATAGCACATATCAAACACTGCTCCTCCGTTAAACAATAGCAAAACTGCTGAGGGGGAGTGGAGACTGGCCATGTTCTGATGGCAGGGTTCACTTAGCTTAGTTAAAAGGTAAATGTGAAAGTAAATCGACCTCTATGCATATAAAAATGTCTTCAGGTACTCTGGTTTTCATCTACATTCTAAAAACATACCAGCATATTAACTGACTGCCATCATAGTTGGTAATGTGTGTATAGGTCTGTATGTTTGTAGTAGGGGCATTACATTGGAAGGGGCATTGCATTGCCAGCTACCCTGAGACTCTTGTAAATGGATCTTTGCACATTAGAAAGAGCTGCATGATATTGGCACTATATAGATGTATAAAATAAATAATGAATAAAGAGATTAAATATTTATAGTATGTCTGTATGCAAGGTGATAGATTATGTTTTCTCTTATGATTTTTTGCAACCTTTCCTAAAGTCGCCAAGGTATTTTAGCCATAAGGGTGCTTAGTAAACACAAATCAGTTTTTGGAGCACCCAGTTTCTGATTTACCGTGTATATGCTTATAAAACAAATCAAAGCATCCTTTGCCTGAATGAAAGTTCCTACTAACAGTCGGTGGAGTTTAAATGAAAACACAAATGTAATTACCATCACATTTAGAGCTATTGGATGCATTCACTTTGTAACCATCTTTACAGCTGCAGATGTGTCCACCAGGGAAGCTGGTACAGAAATGTTCACACTGTGTTGTGTTTAGAAGGCACTCATCTATAACTAAATGAAAAAATATACTGTGTATAATAACATGTAACGCTGGGCATATACTAAAGACTGCACAGAAACACACAAGATAGCTTTTCTTTCTATGTTAAAAGAAGAAAATATCCATTTGCTTTAATTATATGATAAAAGCTGTCTTTCAAAGGTCATAGAAAGTATCCACAGTCTCAGCACAGATCGGAAATGGTCACAGTCCAATAATCTATCAGCCCTCTGGATCTGGACCGTCTTATGTTTTATTTATAAAATACTTATTTATATTTTAGCTGGATAAAAAGTATACATGATCTGGAATAAATATTGTTGTGGTAACTTACCAGTGCAGCTCACACCATCTCCTGTGTAGTTTACCATGCAGTCACACACGTACGAGCCGGCCACATTGGTGCAGATGGCGTGCACAGAACAGTTGTTCAGAGCACCAGGAAGGCATTCATTAATATCTGTCAAAACATCACATATTTAATAATGACATGCAACATACAGTAGCTGTAATTATGTAATGAAAACATGTTATACATTTTCAGATGTAGTAATATACTGTATGTACTGTACTTTGAGCATTTGATTATTAGTTTTACCTTTAGGGCTCATTCACCCTATTAGCGATGACTAGCATTGTTTAACAACTGATCAACACCAGTCACCACCAGGGCACATAGAAAACTATTGTTTTCTATGTACCCCGTTCACACTACAATACAGGTGTCATGTGTGGTACAAAAAAATGCAGACATGCTATGTATGGTGCCACATGTCACCGCACCGCAGTGCAGTACAAAGCACTGCTTTGTGGAGACCTGATTACAGTGTACACTCCAAATCAAGTTGATAAAGGAAAAGGTAAATAGCATGATGCACATTTTAGCATGCAGGCTAGGGTGACCCAACACTTAGAACAAGCCACATTTAAATACAGATTTGGGCTTGTTATCGGATACAATGTTGTCACAAAATAATCTGTGCTTCCTTCTAAACTTCTTCCTAATTTATTACAGTGTTAGCACATACTTTACATCAGCCCAATGACTTCTGTTTCTCACAAGTATATTAGTGATTTTAGTTAAAAACAATCAGAAACAATTTGTTCATAGAATGAATTAAGTGTTTGAGCGAATGCCATACTGTACTGCACCCCGTGGTATCTGCCAATGGCAGCTGGCACTCGACTAAGTATATTTTCCCACAAGGCAGTTATATACAGAAATCCTGAGCCAGCTTTCTAGTTTCTCCCCTACATAGAAGATGAGCACCACCAATGCTACATGCCCATTGGGGGAAAATGGTATAATATCTATATTTTCTCACAGTACATTCACCATAAGTGTAATGAATACTAGACAACTGCTGTCTCCGGTGGTGATTTCATAATAATCCTAAAAGGTCTGTTGAAGCTCATATATGACTTTGTAACATGTTTATTAACAATATTTTACATACCTGTGCAGGTCTCATTTACTTCATTGTAGCCAGGCTGGCAAATACATTTATAGCTGCCTACTGTGTTTACACAACTTCTTCCCCCACCTTTGCAATACTCTGGAGAAATGCACTCATCAATATCTGCAACACAAAACCAAATGTATATTATTGCTCTGCATGATAGTCAATTAACTAGAACATTCATTTAACTGGTCCATCATAAAGCACAGGAGCAAATAACACCTGTTCTATGGGCGTTTCCGTTTCTGGTTTCAGTCTTTTATTATAAGAAACTTCTTCAAATTAACAACTAGGCCCTTCCCAGGCCCACCTATCATTTCATTGTCTAGTAAGAGTGCACTTTGTGACCACTTAGGCACATTCAATGAATAGCGGGATGGTGAATGGGACCTAGATAAGATAGGCAGGACTTAGATCCTAATTCAGAGAAGTCAGGCCAAAAGTAACACCCACACTATAGATGCACAGATGAGATTTTTAATCTTTGATCTCCTTGTGCACAGAAGACATGTTAAATCTTTATCAGAATCATTCACATACAAAACAGTTAATCCAAGCAAACAGTGTGAAGCATTGAAAGCAAAAAAGGAATTCTGCAACTCTATGTTTGCTACTGAGATCTGGAAGAAGTTGACAGTTGAATATCCAAATCCATCTGACCAGTACATACCCTCACAAGTTCCATTCACAGAATAAAATCCATCAAAGCAGGAACATTCATAGCTGCCAATGGTATTGTTACAGGATGCGTGTGCTCCACAAATAGAACCATTTGTTTGGCACTCATCAATATCTGAAAAATAAAGAGAATTTAGATATTGTGCAAGTCAAAATGTAACTAGAGATGACAATAGAAGTGTTTAAGTGAGGACAAAAAATAGAGGCCAGTAGAAGGGCAATACATGAAAAATAAAACAATATGTTGTTCAGCATCTCTGTATCATAAACAGTTTTGAAGTAAACCCAGTAGCACTGATTTAATCAAGTGTTAACCTTGATATTTCTAGTTCAAACCTCATGGAACAAAAACAAATGAAAAGAAACTGGTAAGTACATATGGTATGCATTGTACACAATTCCGATTGCTGCTTTGGAAAACTCCATAATCTACTGTATAAGTGTCTGCTAAATAAAGATTGTTATGTTCCATCAGCATTAGTGGGAGGGTTCAAGTTTCAAGACTTACCTACGCATTCCACCCCATTACCAGTGTATCCATTTCTACAGGTGCATATATAGGATCCTACAGTGTTCACACAGTCTGCCCAAGTACAGTTGATTGTTCCAAGAGAGCACTCATCAAGATCTGTGCAGTTTTCTCCACCAAAACCAACTTCACATTTACAGTTGTAAGAGCCAATAACATTATGACAGGTTGAATTTGAGGGACAGATCGTGGAGTTGTCCAGACATTCATCAATATCTATAATATTCAAACACATAAAAAGACTTAGACAACCACCTTATTCGCCCCCTATTCTCTTGATGTCCCTAATCCAATAAATTCCCATTTTCTAAGGGGAAAAAAAACATTTTGGACATGTATAACAACAACATATTGCATAGTCACTTTAATCCAGTGAAAACATGGGACGAAAAACATGTGATAATAAAACTAGATTTTCCAATAAAGCAAGAATATTTGGAGGGGAGGGGAATGGGTGTAGCAAACATAAATCCAACGAAAAGCCTAGAAGTCTTTTGCTGATAGTCTGTATCAGTCTTGAGGCTAAATCTTACCAGAGCAATTGGCTCCACCAAATCCCTGCAGGCAGACACATCCATAGGAGCCATTAGTGTTGATACATAGAGATTCCCCAGGACACACAGTCGAGTTTTCTGCACACTCATTGATATCTGCAATGATATAAAATTTCCAACTGAATAAAAAAAAGATGACTGCACAAAATAAAGATGATGACCATTTTACAGCTATGTATCTCCTATTTTTTTGTGAGGTATATTTTACTTATTGAAGATAACAATGATCCATTTTTTAGTAAGCAAGTATTTTGAGTAATTATTACAATGTTCACAGTAAAGGGATCTATTTATCAATCTTTTACACAAGAGTGACACAACTTTTACTCAGGAGTCACACATTGGGGTCTATTCACGAAGCTACGGCCAGATCCTTCGGCTAGCTTCGGCAAGGGAGAGTTTTTTTTTTGTTCTTTTTTTTGACAGCTGCAGAGCAGCTGGACAATAGGAAACTATTGGGCGGAGCTAGCTGTCACTGCTAGCTCCGCACAATCGTTTGCTATTTACTTTTTAAACTTTTTTCACTGTTTTTCTGTTCTGCTCGGTACCTCTAAATCGGTATGCTCGGCGGCATTCGGCTATTCACTCACTGCTGTTCGGGAGCAGCTTCGTGAATAGACCCCATTGTTTCAATGTAATCCCATTTAAAAATTGTGTGAACATTGCGTGAAAAAAAATGATAAATTGACCCCAAAGGGGTTTTAGGGTAATGTTTACATTTTATATTGCATGTGTAGATTCTCCCTCTTGTAGTTATCAGTATTTTCCTGCAATATATAGGCCTGATATAGCGTCTAACTATTTGAGACAGTTGGATCTCAGTTGTAAACTTCTAATGAGAAAGATGAACAGTATGGCACGGTTATTATGCAGGACTATGAAGCAAGAAGCAGAGCCTGCACATATAATGAGCAACTATGAATGTCATTATGTATATACATTGCACACCAAATTTAGAAACCAGGTTTTTTTTAAATATCTTAACACATGTTGATACAATCGTTTATAACAACAGTAACAAATCTACTGCTTCCATTTTAAAAATATGATAGTGTTGCAGCCTTATCTATGATAGCATCTATGTCTCAGAAAATAGCTTTGTGGAACCTTAAACAAGGGTCCAATGCAGACTTTTGTAAGGAGATTTACACATGGAGACCAGATATTTTTTGATTTTCAATGTATTCTTCTATAGCAGGGGTGCCCATAAGGTCGATCGCGATCTACCAGTCGATCGCGTAGCGATCACTGGTAGATCGCCCTGTCCTCTCCTCCCGTCGCTTCTCTGGATCCCCGCTGCTCTCCCCAGCGGGGATCCGAGAAGAAGTGAAGGAACCGGCGGCGGGGGAGGGCGGAGGACAGAGCCGCTGTCACTAACTAATGCAGAGCAGTGAGGAGAGAGAGAGATGCTCGGCCAGGATCTGACAGCCGGCGCCTCTCTCTCCCCTCACTGCTCGTCCGTAGAAAATAAACAGAAAGTATTTCAAATGAGTCTTTTCACTTTTATGCATTCTGCTTTTTGGACAAAACATTATTTCATTATCATAATTTCACTGATGCATAGACATTCTAAAAGGCTTCTAGAGGACCCATCCATTGCAGCACAGGACCGAAGGAGAAGATTCTGACTGAAGAGGCTGTGTGGTGCCAAGAAGGCTTGATAGCTGATGTTTTGGCAAACTAGGAAAAAGGTGAGCTTTAAATGTATGTCCACTTTGCAGCCACATTAGGATAACAACTAGTTTATATTTGTTACATGTTCCCATTCACATAGCATAAACTAAACTTTTTTTTAAATGCTTCTAGCAGTTTAAATTGCTTTTACATGGGTTAGAGTTTCTTGGCTTTTAAGGGTTAACATTTCTACTTGTTTTTCCTTTTTTGTAATGTTCGGAGGGGCTGTGAGGGGTGAGGGGTTAAAGAATTACAACACTGGCTTCTGTGTTCAAATATTAACGAAATTTTAGAGAGAAACACAATCCACAAATTTCAAGACTTTCTATAAGGAAAGATCACTGTGAAGGTGCTCAGAAAAAGCTTGATTCAGCCATGTTGTCTGCTGCAACAAAACATCTAAAAGGTAAGAAATTTAAAAATATATATTTGTATGTAGACTGTGAGAATATGAACACACAACAAATATATAGAGAGGTTTTCTCAAATTTGACTGCAAAAGTAGAAATACACTTTTATGGCCGGTTCACAGCATAAACAGTGCTTTAGAGAGCGGTCAGCCTTTGAAACACATTGTATCGCATTCCGACTGGCTTCCTGCATTTATGGGTGGGAGGGGGCATGGAGGTGCGTTGAAGTCAATGGCACCGCGGCCATGCTGCAGTGTGATTGTCTGCACCAGAACGCGTGGCACATCAGTGCCTGTGTTCCGGTCCAGTGCGATCAGCAAACATAGGGGGTTATTCACAAAGCTGTTGTAGGCAGCCGAGTTAATAACTGACCCGAAGTGAAGTACACCGACTAAAATCAGCCGTACATCGGCTTGCTACGGCTGGCTTCGGGACGGCCGAACATGCTCAGCATGTTCGGCCTGACCCAAAGTGCAGAAGGAGTTCGACTCAGCCAATCCAACATTTGGACCGAGCCGAATAGAAAAAAGTAGAAAAAAAAGGGAAAACGATTGGGCTGAGCTAGCTGTGGCAGCGAGCTCCGCCCAATTGTTTTCTATTGGCCGGAACCAGCTGTCATTGCAATGAGAGCTTGTCGGAGTCGGCGGTGGTATCAAAGCCGGCTCTGCTTAGTTCTCATGGTACTGACAGATCAGCGTCCCTTGGTTACCAAGTAACCCCGGGACGCTGAACTGTCAGTACCATGAGAGCTCAGCAGAGTCAGCTTTCATATCACCTCCAGCTCTGCTAAGCTCTCATTGTAATGCAGGGGGGAAAGAGCACCCCCCTGAAATGATGGCAGATAGCAGAAGAAGCAATAGCATCTTTGCTATCTGCAAGTTTTTTTGTTTTTTTTTTATTCTGACAGCTGCTGCCGTCAGAATAAAAAAAAAATCAAAAAAAAATCAGCATGGAATGCATAGCTAGATTCCTATTGGCTATTTCAATTTGCAATATCCAATAGCAAGCAGGCTATTGCACCCGCCCTCTGCTGCTGTCAATCACTAGAAGAGGACCTGGTGGAGAACTTCAGGTCCCCTCTGCTTATTGACAGCAGCAGTGGGAGGGTGCAATAGCTAGCCTGCTATTGGCTATTGCAAAGTAAAATAGCCAATAGGAATGTAGCTATGCATTCCTATGCTGTTTTTTTTTTCTGACTGACAGCGGCCGACGGCTGCGATGTCAGAAGAAAAAAAAACAACAGAGCAGGGAAAGGTTTACTCTGCTCGATCGAGCAGAGTAAACCTTTCCAGGAGAAAGTGTTTCTCTCCCGGGCGGCCGGGAGCCGCCATCTAATAGAGGAACACTCCCGCAGCATCCGGGAGAGTTGGGATGTCTGACAGATCAGCATCCCTGGTTACCTGGTAACCAGGTATAGTGAATAGCCTGTACAGCAGCCCTTCGGTTCTACTGAACCGAAGGGGTCCTGGGGCCGAAGCTAGTCGAAGGATCAGCCTAAACTATGGCTAGATCCTTTGGCAGCTTTGTGAATAACCCCCATAGTGCTTGCAGCACTTTAGCAGATAACACTGGACTTTTTTTGCTTCAAATTAGCTTTCAGGTGCAGTCCAGTGCGTTCCATTGCGTTTGCATGTGTTTGTATGCGCTTTTATGCGTTTCCATGCATTCCAGACCAGAGAAAATTAGACAGGCAGTATTTTTTTTGTCTGGTCGGTAACAGACTGTGCTGGTGTAAACAGAGCCCAGAAATACCATAGGGATACATTGGGATGCTTTTTTGGTCCAGGAACAAACTGTTCTGGTCTTGACATGATCCAAACATGGTGTGAACAAGCCCTTAAACATTGTAGTGAAAACATTTTACTTGTAATAGCCCCAAGTCCGGGGAATAATATGTGTGCTTCTTTCTCCCTTTTAGCCAGTCAGAAAAAGGGATCCATATAGAACCACCTCACAGGCCCAGCGAGCAGATTCTCAGTGAAAAGCAATTTGTGAGAAATACAAAGTAAACCTGTCTACAGATTTCCACACAATGTACAGATGAATGTCCTTACCAGTACAGGTTACTCCATCTCCAGTTAAAGTAGGAGGGCATGGGCCACACTTAAATCCTGTTTCTGGAGCTATATTGTCCACACAAGTGTTGTTATCAAAACATTGGTTCTGTTCACAAGCATTGAAATCCTTTTCACAGTACATCCCCACCCATGCAGCAGAACAGTTACACCCAGCAACCTGCAAAAAGACAACAAATCATTTGTAATGTAAAGGAATATATGGGGAAAAGCTAAAACTAAATACTGTATGTATCTCTATATTGCATTTGATAAGTTCTATCCCACTCCTACTAACCGTATTGATCTACAAGTTTTTAAACTATTTATTGAAGATGCCCATAGGATGTATTTCCTCAATGCACTGACACAATTTCACTCAGCCCTGTAAATATGCACTTCCTTGTGCCACAACTCTCACAGGGCCTGCTGTATAAACTACAACTCAATGTCTGAACTTCCCGCAATGTAACATCATCATTGCTTGCGTGAAGCAATGCATGATGGGGCATGTAGTTTTGAGAAATTGAGAATGCATGACATCAAGCAGCAGGGAAAGAGATGCTAAGCACACTGGGAATCTGGGAAACGGACGGAAGCAGCACTCACTACATAAAAGGAATGTTTTCAAGCAAGCTTTGATTGCTCAAAAGAGCTCCATAGACTCAACGCTCCATTCCAGCTTTGGCTGCAATTAGTCCATACCCTGGGTGCAGGCTGCAGTGGGCTCCTCACTTACTCAAACCAATCTCCAAAAGATCAGCCGCACAGAAACCAGGGTAAATGTAATCCAAAATGTATTGAAATAAATCCAAGCACATTCCAAAAAACAGCAAGTCCAAATGAATGACATGCTACTTATCATTCTTTTGGACTTGCTGTTTTTTGGAATTTCCTTGGATTTATTTCAATAAAGTTTGGAAAACATTTACCCTGGTTACTGTGCAGCTGATCTTTTGAAGCTTTGATTGCATTATCAAAAACAACTCTAGTATGCATTCCTATTACAGTGCTGATGTTATAACAGGATAGTATATTCCGTTACTTTAGAGCTCCTTGAAAACATATATACATACAACATTTCTTTGTACACTGCCCACTGTAGCTGGTATGACACTGACAGCTGTCATTCTGCCATCGTTTTGACAATATGTGTCAATAAAGGAGGTTTGTTTGGACATACATTTCTGTGTGCTGGTGGCATCTTGTTGGTAGTTTGTTACTTTTTTAAGCCACAAAAATATTTTTTACTACTTACCATGAAATTTGTGGTTTCATTCCCTAAGCTTAGCGGGCTGTCATACACACAGCTGCCATTTTTGGTACAGTTGCAAAGGACCAAAGTCAGGACAACATTAGTAGCGACTTTGGAATCATTCGCTATTACAGAGACGTTAACGGGAGATGAACTGGTGGGAAGCCAGACCAGTAGTCCACCCTCTGCGTGACAGAAAAGACACATAATCAGTGATGCATCAGCAGGTAAATGAACTACCAGTATAGATATAAATATGCATTCATTCATAACATGTAATGTCTCTATAGCATGTCATTCCTATTTCATCAACTGAATTGATGGCTTTATTTCTCCACCACAAACATAAACAATGGCGTATCAGTCAAGCAATTTTTGTGATGCATTCATTCAATAAATAAGTTAGAAAAAAGAATAATGGCGCTGAACGTATTCACCTGTTATGTTGATATCAGAAGAGTCTGTCTGCAGGGAAAAGACTACTGTGTCATTATTATCATCTGTGGCTGTATAGGACACTGTCACAGGTTCATAGAGCTTGGTCTTGAGGGTGGTTGGCCCAGTCACATTTGGTGGGAAGTTGTCTGCAGAAGAAAATGTTGTTTAGGCAAATTTGTGATAAAAAATTTGAAAAATTATCAGCTGATCAAATATATAACAAATCTGAAAGCAAATACAGATATATAAACCTAGTGGAGTAATTGGGCACTATGCACTGAGAAGATGGAACATTGCAAGTGAAAACTGATGGCACTACACATAAAATTGTTTATTTCAATATCTCAATATGTATCATTTTAATTTAGAAATCATTCAAATGTTCTCCCCATCATAATTTAACATATCTAATATTTCTGGTCTCTATCATCGTCTTTAATAAAATAGTACTGTAAATGTATGTATTATAATGAGTAAATGATAATATTCATATAACGTTTACTGGCCCATACCCAAGTTGCAGGCTACAACTGGTTAATCAAACAATAAATACTCCATAATGGATCATGTCTTACTCATTGTGCTCTGCTGTTCTTCGGCCGCTTTGACACTGCCCAGCGTAGCCTCTCCCACCTCAAAACTTTTAGTACTCAGGATGTCAAAGATACATTCATCATTCCCTTTGCAGGTCGCATTTGCTTGTTCGATAAGATCGCGGTCACTAGTCAGTAGCAACTCATCATAAAACAATGGCACAAAGCTGTTATTATTGTAGGTGTCCCAGGTTTCTCCTTCTGTCACATTATAAATAAAAAGGCTGCTTGAAGGAGTTGTTCTCCCTGCAAAGAAAAATAATACATTGATAGCTTTGTACAAAGTAAAGACGACTCCAAGTTTCTTCTTGCACTAGGTTTTATAAATGATCACCAATATGGTAGAACTGAGTTCCAGGTATATAGCTTCTAGTATAATTTAGTCTTATAAAAAAGCTTAAATAACACAGACACTGATACATAATAAACCTATGTATGCAATGCAGACACATGCAATTAATCTTATAACAAAGGTTTATAGTCTGTGTAGTGTTTACTAAGAGAGAAGAATGGTTTTAAATAACCTTTACTACAATCACAAGGACAATCTGGTATGACCGATTTCTCACGATGTGTTATACAACGATCACGCTGGCTGTGCCATTATTTTCTAATAGCAACCCAGTCACACCAGGCGGTTTCCCACCGCTTTTGTGCCTTTAAGTTCGCGCTTGAAAAAACCTGCATGGTGCGTGACGCAAAAAAGGTACATTAAACCTTTTTTCAGCGATTGCCACGCAGATGTAACCCTATTGAAATCAATGGGGCCACGAACGCTGTCTGCAACCGCACACGAATGTGCGGTCCCAGGGCGCGCGTCCCAGGATCGCACAAGACTGCATCAGCCTTTAATGCTGGGCAGCAAACTGAGCCAGTTTTGAAAAGGTCCGTGGGAGATTTGCCAAAAGAGATGAGATAAATTTGCACAAATAAAAAACTGATGAGGGACAGGTTGGAAAAAAATGATACGTGCTCAAATAACAGGAGCCGAACATTAAAACATATTAGAGTAACTAGAAATAACAAAATAGGTAAAAACATTAGTAATATTATTATCTATTATTATAAAAGCATGAACACATTATGTATATCTATACATCAAATAACAAATGTAATAATATATGACAGAGTCCAGATGAAAACAAGTGCAGAGGCACGAAATAGGAGAAGAAATGGTCTCTGCCCCAGCACGCTTAAAGTCTTAAGCTGGCCATACGTTATGCGAATTACCGATGGTTGTTCCGAAACCTGGCGAAATTCACACAGTGGGTGCCGCTGTCGGCACCCTTTCAGCCGGCATCCCTCGATCAGCTGATCGAATTTGGCAGTCGGAAGTGCTTCAAACAAACAGAGCTAGAGCTGCAACAACGATTTGATTTAGATGATTAAAATCGACGATCGAAAACGTTACCAACGTTTTCGATCGTCGATTATTCGGCTATCTTATTACCTTGCCTGTTCGCGGCTCCATACTCATGCCCCGCACGCAGCGCACGCCACGCCCACCGAACACGCACGCCACGGCGGCTGTGCTCCCGGCTCTTCTCCAATCCCGGCGCTCCTCACATCTAGCCGGGCCGATCACATGACGGGTGCCGGGGATGTGAGCGTGACGGGTGTCAGCCGGGGGACGGAGACTATGGCTGGGGACGAGCCGGCATCAACCTTTATTTATATTTATAAAAACAAAATCGTACATTAAAACAGAGATGTACAAATCCCGGGAGCTCTGTGTGCCCCTTAAAAATAACAGCTGCCTCCTAATATTTGAATTTTTCTCTAGTGTAGTCTCGGAGCTCAAACGTATCGGTACATGTACTCGTACTTGTACCGAGTACTGTACTTGGTATCTGTGCAACCCTAGTTAGCTGCAGCCCTAAACAGAGCCAACAGATACAAAAGAAACAGCGGGGATTCCTCAATAAACATGTTCGTAATGTTGATGGAGGAAACTGTTCCATTTTTTTTTTCAAAAGGAGAACTTAAAGGAGAACTATGAGGTGAGTGCTTTTCACTCACCTCATAGTTCTAGCCGACCTGTGACAATGAGACTGTCGCAGGTCATCTCAGTAGATCGGGAGGTGAGCGAACACATACCGGCGTTCGCTCACCTCTCGATCCTGTCACGGCTCTCTGCCGTGACAGGGGGAGGGGCTGGATTCCCCTCTCCCCGCTCCGATCTGCCAGCGCTGACTGGCGGAACGGACGGGGGAGGGGGCGGGTACAGCTGGCTCTGCCTCTAGATAGGCAGAGCCAGCTGTCACTCACGCAGCTGGGCGGATCTAGACATAATTGTCGGGATCCGCTTCAGCTGCGGCTTCTCAGTATACGGCGAGCTACAGCTCGCCGTATACTGAGCTTAGGGTGAGGGGAGGACGCTGGTTTGTGTCCTCCCGTTACCCTAAGGAGAACTATGGGGAAAAGCCCCATAGTTCTCCTTTAAAGCTGCCCATTGAGAATACAATCTGTATAAACAATCTCTGTATATCTCTTTTAAGGTCACAACACAAATTACAATATGATTGTACAATCTCCTTTAGGTCTACTAAAAACTATGTAGTGCAAGAGCCTGCCTGATTGGATACAAATTGACTGGATGGTTTAGGCAGGTCCTCATATTATATTGTTTTGGTAAACCTAAAGTTGATTGTACAAAGATTGTATGGTCCGATTGTATAGTGGGCCAAAACTAAGTAATATGAGGCCTTATCTGTAAAACCATTAAATATGTATTACATCCGGCAGACCATTATACTACATAAGGTTTTGGTAGCTATAAGTGACAGTGTGGAAAAAGATTGTTACATATGTAGTTAGCTAAGTGATGGGGAAAGATGGGAAACTCAGAGTTAGCAGCATGGTCATAAATGACAGAGATAGAGAGAAAGATGCATAGTCAAATATGAAGAAGGAGGTTTTAAGAGAGTGTATACAAATTTTAAAGATGGAGGATAGTCAAAGAGGACGAGGTAGAGAATGCCAGTGAGGGGCGCATGCGCGGCGCGCTTGATGGCAGACGCGCCTTAGAGCCGCTCCGGACCTCGTCGGCATCTCAGGGGACTAAATGACCGGCACTGAGTCGTCAACCGCTCGGTAACACACGCCGCCAGAGAAGGTAACAACCCGCCCGCACAGCCATGGCCCCCACAGGCTCCAAAACGAAGCCCAAGAGCCAAAATACTAAAGACTGCATGTCAGCTTCTGCAGCCAAGATGGCGCCGACCCCAAACCGCCCCAGCACTATCACGAGGGCCCCCTCCCCACACTCTGAGGGGGAAGACACTTGCAGCAGGGCCAGCTCTCCTTCTCCTACCAGGGAGAGATCAGATCACAGAGTGCTCCTCCAGAAGATCGATCGTATGCTGCAAAAAGCATTAAATCACAGCACTTCTAAGCAGATCACTGAAAAGCTGACTCAGGGGATCCGTGATCTAGGCCATAGGACAGCTGAGCTCGAAACCAAAATGGACGACGCAGTCGTGGCCCTACATACGCACGACCGTGAGTTGGAAGTCATCAGAGATGAAAATCAACAACTACTGTCCAAACTGGAGGACCTAGAAAACCGATCGCGCCGCTCGAATCTGCGGATTCGCGGTATCCCAGAATCAGTAACTGACCTCCAAGCGTTCACCACAGCCCTGCTCCAAGAACTGGTACCATCTATCCCTCATGACAGGCTGGAATTTCAACGTATACACCGGGCCCTCACACGCCGTGCTAAAGATGGTCCACCTAGAGACATCATCATAAAATTCCTTTACTACCGCACCAAAGAATCTATTTTGCAAGAATCCAGGAAAAAAGGGAACCTTTCCTTTCAAGACCACAGCTACCAAGTGTTCGCAGACCTCGCTCCCTCCACTATCTCCAAGAGAAGGGAATTAAAACCTGCCCTGCAACACCTACAACATCATGGTATAGCCTATAGATGGGGCTTCCCCTTTCGCCTTCTTTTCAACTATAGAGGTCGCCAACATCAAGCCTCGTCCCTGGCGGACGCCTTGAGACTCCTCGGGAAACTTAACCTCCTCACGGATGACACCCACCCAAATCGCACCTCGCCGCAGGATCAGCGCGGCCCACGCCGTGGCCATCCCCCTGAGACCCCGAAGACATCCTCCCTCCCACGCTCGCCTCATCAGCACCGAAAACGCCACACCTCAGGGGTTTCGGATTCGGACTCAGCCGGATGACAGATGTCGCAGGATATCTTCCCCCCGTTCGAAACACTCTAAACTGGGACACTTTGTGACCACCATTGTGCCATATGCGTGGCCTACTGTGACTGTCTCAACTGCCTTTGTCTCATAATGTTCACACAATTGCCCAAGCCAGTCCCGTTCTAGGGTGTTCCTGTATACTTGCAGTATAGTTTATTTACAATTATCTGCCTAAATGGACAGCCTCTGGGTTCTGACATATCGATGGAGCACATTTTTGTTTATCCAAGTGTTAGCACGTTTAAACGCTCCTTTATACTGTTCATGATTGTTTGTTGTTGCTCCACAGGCAAACGTTAACTTGTTGTTGTTTAGCAAACGGGATGAGTGAATTATATTTTCAGACATTGTGAGCGCTGTATTTCGGTGTCAACCAGAGAAGGCCCCTTATAGGCGCGGAGTCTTATCTGCTCCCTCTTCCGCTGGCTCACACCTAATACCATTGCCACTGTGCTCCCGAAGCCTGGAAATATTTATAAGTGTTGCCCTCGGTATGACCGTACTTATGCCACCTATTTATGTTTTTCATTTGCTCTCCCCCTGAGATGCCGGGGAGGTGGTTACTGTGCCCCCCCTTTAGCCCCCATCTCGGATAAGCTCCCAGCTGGGGGTTCTGCCTCTGCCCACAGATCGGACCCCCAAATAGGGTTTGCCCTTCTGTTAAGGTCAGAACCTTATACTCAATTTACTGTCTACTAACCTGTTGTTCTTTTTTTCCTCTCTCTGTTCCCATGACTCCCCTCATCCTCGCCTCCTCTCCTCCTCCCCACATGACGCTCGAGGTCCACTCATCGGTCGGTATGTATCCTGCACACCACACACAGCACCACTACACCAACCTTGAATATGTCACCTGACATTAAAATACTGTCACTAAATGTCAAAGGCTTCAACTCCCCCCGTAAGAGGCATATCGCATTTCGTCAGTTCCACTCCTCTAAATTTGACATCCTCTGTCTTCAGGAGACACTCTTCTCCCGCTCCTCTCACCTGCAATACTTTCACCCTCATTATTCTTGCTTTGGGAAGCACACAAACCGGTCCTACGAGGCACGTGTATAAAATTAGCATCTACCATTAAAAAACAGAGAATGGCCCTCCTACTAGACCTCGAAACAAAATTCAGTGACACATCTAGAGCGTTTCGTTTACATCCAACTCCCCAAAACAAATCCCTTGCAGAGAAGTCCAGTAGAGACCTTAATCTCCTACTTGCCAGCCTCGCTGATAAAAGCCTCCGTAGGACCCAGCACAAATTCTACCTACAAAGCAATAAACAATCCATCCTTTTAGCAAGAAGACTGTGAAAAATAGATCTGCACCAAAAACCCCTCCGCCTCCATCTAACAGATAACTCCCTATCTAGCAACCCCCATAAAATTGTCCTTGAGTTCTCTAAACATTTATCTAACCTTTATAACTCCACCACCCCATTGGACCCTACCGCAGCCGATGCACTATTCTCTGAGGTATCCATGCCAGAAGTGCCAGAATCCATCCGCACATCTTTAGAAGCCCCAATAACTAACCTAGAGGTAATAGCAGTAATAAAATCCCTTAAATTACATAAGAGATCTGGCCCAGATGGTTTCACCGCCTCTTACTATAAAAAATTCTCGGAACTGCTTGCACCCCTATTGGCGGCAGCCTTCAACGATGTGCGTGATGGATCCAAATTTAGAACAGAATCTCTTGCCGCCACCATTTGCATGATTTCAAAGCCAGACACAGATGGAACCCATTGGGCTAACTTTAGACCAATATCACTCCTAAGTATCGATGTCAAACTGTTGGCCAAAATTTTGGCGACAAGGCTCAATTCCACCATTCCTGCCCTCATTCATAAGGATCAGGTTGGATTTATCCCCCGGCGCCAAGCCGGAGACAATGTGCGCAGAGCCTGTCCCCTTATTGATAAAGCTAACCCAAGAGGTATTCCATTTATGTTGCTATCTCTGGACATGCAAAAGGCATTTGACTCCCTCTCATGGCAATATCTGCTCTATATCCTCGACAAATGGGGCTTTGGGTCAAAATTCTGCTCTTGGATCATGGCCCTATACTCCAACCCTACAGCATCTGTTAAAAACGTGGGCCATAGATCCGAACCCTTTCCCATCCTCAGAGGTACTAGGCAGGGCTGCCCCCTTTCCCCACTGCTATTTGCACTGGCTATTGAACCATTGGCACAGTTAATTAGAAATCACCCAGATATTACAGGAATACCACTCGCAGGACATCATCATAAATTATGTCTCTTCGCTGACGACATACTGATCTTCCTTTCCAACCCTCACATCTCTCTCCCTAACACCCTACGCCTCTTAGACTCCTTCAGCCAAATTTCCGGTTTACACCTAAATACTGCTAAATCCAAAGCCCTTAACGTAAAGCTGTCCCCAAACACAGTTGAATTGCTTAAATCAAACTACCAGTTCCAATGGGAACCATATTCCCTGAAATATCTAGGCGTCCACCTGACCCCTTCTCATTCCTCCATATACTCAGCCAACTACCCCTCTTTATTCACCAGACTCAAAAATCTACTTAAAATCTGGCATACCTATCCCCTCTCATGGTTAGGTAGAATCGCTGCGGTTAAGATGACCCTATTGCCAAAACTCCTCTTTACATCAACCTAGACGTTCTGGTGGTCTGGGTGTTCCACACCTACAGAAGTACTACCAAGCGGCGCAAATCGCGACCATCACTAAGTACCATGCTAATATAGAAGTACCGCTATGGGTCTCGATCGAAGCTATGGACTGTGACCCATACGCAATCGATAACCTTTTATGGATGCACCCCAAGGATAGGAAAGTCCCCCTCCCTACCCTCTCCCCATCTGTTCTACCTTTTGTTCTTGTCCTTTTTCTTCACTGGTTGTTCCTGGTCACTGTGGTGGAAACCCCACCAGAGCTGGCCACCACATTCCAAACACGAAGAAGGGTGACTGCTAGACATCTATATTTCATAATATATCTAATGTTTTGCTTAACTGTCATATAGCAATACCATTGTCTACATTACTGTTTATGCGCGCCCTTGATTTCCGTGCTAGTAAATTGTTTAATTACTGTTTTTTGGGGTTTTTTTTAAATAAAAAACCTTTTGAAACTAAAAAAAAAGAGAATACCAGTGAAATGGGGGCTGTCTTAGAAAACTCCTATTGTTATGCATTAGAAGGGTGAAGAGTGCAGTAATAGGCCAGTGAGGCAGCAGAGAGGGCCAGAAATAGAAGTGCAGGATAGGTGCCGTGCTTAAGTGCTTAGAAGTCAAAGAGTAGCGAGTTGAATTTTATTCTTTAGTTTATTGGAAGCCAGTAAAGAGATTGATGTAAAAGGACAGCATATGAGAAGACATTTCAATACTAACATAAGTGAAGGGTTGAAGCATTAAAGTAGAACTCTAGAAAAACAAGATAAAAATAGATAGCCCATTAAATAATACAGCTTTTGCTGCAATGACTGGGCAGTGAAAAGAGAAACAACACAGTGGTCTGTCTGTCTGTCCGTCTATATATATATCTTTCTATCTACATGCTTCTTGTCAGCACATTAACTTTTTAGCTCCCTATGCTGCTTCTTCTTTTCACCCTCCGGCCCTGTGGTAAAGGGATTGCAATAGTCTGACACCAGTTCAAAGTCAGGTTTTAATGATGTATGAATGATACATAGATGCAGTAATATGTGTCTTTTATATCTGTGTATTGTTCAGCTTTATCCAAAATGGTATGAAAATGTTTTGACCAGATACTTACATGTCTTTCCAATTTCAAAAATAAGAGATTCATTGGGGAGCTTCACTCCGTCATATTCCAGTTTTGTTCCATTGGCAGCCATGAGGTCATCAGTTTTATCATCATTGAACACACCTAAAATGACATTTCATCAGTGTTAATTTTCACTTTCACTGTTGGGCTTGTTCTCATGATTAGTAAGTCTCCGTGCAGGAAAATGTTTCCATTTTCTTTTGTATTTAGCATTAATGAATGATAAAACATAGCTCACCCAGAAGGCCTTCTGTCTTGTTCTTGTAAATAACATCTAGCATTGTGGTAAAGCTCAAAGCTCCCACCTTAGCAGACACTGTGACTGAGATCCCACCATCAAATGAAGCCTGTATTTCATTATTCTCTGTCTTCTCCAGTGACACCTTATCCAAATGTGTAGAATTATCTTTAAAGAAAGCAAAATATTGAAGATTAAACTGTACCCATATGACACAAATACAATGATCAGATAATATATGTGTAAGCCAATGTTTAATTCATTCATTTTGTGTTAATTTCTATAAAATGACTTTTAAGAGACTTACAGAAAGTAGCTTTAATTACAGAAATCGAAACTGTTAACTAACGTTATAAACATATAACCAATAAAGGTAAATATGTCTTTTAGGTAAAATATATATTCTTATTAGAGAGTAATTTAAGGGAAATTCCTGCCATGCAGTCAATGAAGGTTCTCATTTATCCAGCTCATGCATTAGCTAGAAGCAGGTCCTAGTCAAATTCAACTGGACATGTTTTAATATTGTTTAATGGCCTATTAATCAGCAAAAACCAAAGACGCCTTACCTGGTAAAGTGAACGTGGTACCATTAATCCTCACAATGGTTGTATTGCTGCCCTGTAGTAACCACTCCACCTAAAACAAATCACAAGCTTTAGGCAACACCAAAAAACTTTTACCATGTGGAAGTTATTTGCTACTTTTGTTACCATGAATACCTCCTATAAAGCACAAAGGCTCCACTATCTGATACACAAGTCTTACCGTTGTTTGATTTTGAATATTTGCAACCAATCCAATGAAGTTAGTTGCCTGTGTGCCATTGCCAGCTTTGGCTGTGCGTCCTTGGAGTGTGAAGATAAGTGTGTTATTCTCATCTCTAACATTGGCCAAGGTAAATTCTCCCAGCCCATTGAAAGTATACTGTACACTATCCAGTGTACTGATATGAGGGTCTCCAAACAGCCATCCTGACAAATGAAATAGATAAATAATGAAAGACATGAAGAGTATTTTTCTCAGCTTTTCTCATAATTCTCAGCTTTTGTTTTTTGAGCTGTTTACAAAGCCTTTTTTCAGCATTATTCCACACTATTTTAGTTTCACATGTTTATAAATAAGTTGAAAATGACTAAAAACTGTGGTGAACCAAAACTTGAAAAGGAAGTCCTTTTTATCTTTTTTTCTTTTATAACAGACCAAGTGTATGTACTGGCTCCTGTTATTGGCTAGTGATGCTACGTCATACAACACTGCCTAGGGACAGGTTTACTTTAAATAATAAATACTGATAAAAATGCAGTTTGCTGTAATCCGGCTTTGGCTTGAAATGTGCTTAGGAATGATTTACTGATAGCTTACCAAACCTTGGTGGAATATACCCAAAGCAGAAATCGTAAGGTCTTCTTTCTCGGTATAAATTACAGAGGTATGAAGAACCAGAGTATCTACAACAGTTGTTATATGGATCTACTTCATTTGCTGCAAGTGAAAAATAAAAAAAAACATGAGAAAATTAGAATACACCAATGGTAATATCTGTTATGCTTACATAGTTACATAGTTACTTAGGTTGAAAAGAGACACAAGTCCATAGAGTTATAAAAGGAGAGAAAAAAAAAGGGAGAGAAAAACCAAAACAGAACGTTATGCCCACAGTCACCCACTGTTGATCCAGAGGAAGGCAAAAACAAACCCCCTATAAAGCATGGGTCAATTTGCTCCAACAGGGGGAAAAAATCCCTTCCTGATCCCATAAGGCAATCGGATATTCCCTGGATCAACAATCCCTGGTGCTTAATATACTTATAATAACTTAATATCCAGTAATATTCTGCATTTAGGAATACATCCAGATTTATTTATTTTTAAACAGGTAACTGAGCTAGCTAGAACAAGCTCCTGAAGAATCTTTTCCATATGCAAATCTCTTTTCCCCCAGACGCAACAAGCGCCCCCTTGTCCTTTGCAGTGACCTTAAAGTGAACAATTTGGCACCAAGCTCACTATATGGACCATTTATGTATTTATACATGGTGATCATGTCCCCCCTTAATCGCTTCTTCTCCAGAGAGAACAAATTCAGGTCAGTTAATCATTCCTCATAGCTGAGTTTCCCCATGCTTCTTATGATGTTAGTTGCCCTTCTATGCACTCCAGTTCTGCAACATCCTTTTTGTGAACTGGTGCCCAAAACATATGATGCTTATTGCATAAACTAATGTCAGTGTAGAACATAAAATCATTCCATGCCATATGTGAATTTAGTAGATAAGATGTGGAAAAACCCTCATGGGGTCCTACAAATAATTAGAACAAATATTAAAAAATGTATGAGCTAGGTAAGGTGTACAGTAGAAAGTACTTTTATTTATTGTGATCTTAGTTACCTTTGTATTGACTTCTTATTGTTTGCAGCTGTGACAGGTAATAGCTATAATACCAGTTGTAGTAATAGTATGGGTTATACCACCGAAACCAGCTGTTCTCATACTCCCAGGGAGTTGGTAAATATCTTTCTTTCTCTCCGTAGGACAAGCTACCCCAATAATTGTAGTAGCACCTCGTTCCTCCTCCAAACCAAGTTGAAAATGCAGTCTGAAAGCTGTAGTACTGACTATACCAATCTGAAAAGGGGAAATAACAAGTAGTGAATGCCATAGAGAACACAATTATACAGTATATACATATCTGGATAATAAGAACACACCTGTCAAAGTACATTCATTATAAGTGACTCAAAAATTGTGGATCAAAAACATCCCAGCAACACAGTTTCAGAATGTGACAAATGTACCATGCGAACAATTTCATTTGAAAATGGCTCAGGCATTCGTTTTTTTGGAAAAGGCAGTGTGAACATTGTGGTTGGCTGGTGTTTTATCCCCTTTATTAAAGGATTATGAAAAATATAACCCACTCTTTATCTCAACACTGAGCCAGCCCTTACAAAAAAAAGCACACAAGACTTAACCTCCCCCTAATGTTTAACCACCACATCAAGTGATAAAGAGTACGCTTAACTCTCCCACAAACCTGAAACTTATTCCATCCCTTATAGTGAGCATACGTTTCCGCGTCCTACACCAGGAGCCCCAATGCTGATGCAGTAGCCCTGCATCAAAGTATGAAGCGAGATTCACAGAAGAGCCTAGTCTGATTTAATTTGATTTTATTTGGCATCTGCAGTGAAATACACTCTGTGTAATTATCAACAAGCATATTCTGATAACTGTTAAATGTTCCAGTGTGGGGCCTCCTCCTTGACCAATGTGAGCTCAAGCTGTAGTTAGGGGAAGTGGCCAGATTCCAGGGGAATGTCACACTATATACAATACTGTTCTGACTAACAAATGGGTTGGTTGAAACTTATCATCAACTGTACTAGTGGCTAATTGGTTCTACTCAAAGTCAACCTGTCATAAAGAAGAAATGCCATATCCTGTAAGGCAAATGTTAATGGAAATTCTGTCTAGAAGTCACAATATCCCAAGTTGTTATGGTTATCGTAAGATGGTAAGACACTACCCTAGTGGATTCTTTATACTGCAAACCAAACTAAATATTGGCCAAGCTGAAAGAAAAAAATTACACATTTAAGTACACCTTCATTAAAAAAAATTATGTTGGGGAACGGTACAGACATAAGTTACTTTGTCCAATAGTGAAGTTTTCAAAATATATACAGGCAGCATAAAAGTAAAATCTCAGTTTGGCATGTCATGCATGCATGTATGTATATTCACACAAACACTCAGACATAATGGGGTTGATTTACTAACCTTATAAACACGCCACGAACAAGTATACACCTCTGTAGTGTGTTCCCTCCCAGCATGATCTATTGGTGGAATCTAGACACCTTTGTAGTGTGTACACACCCAGCAGGTGTGTTGTGCAAAGCCCTGCATGAACTGCAAGGTGATGTATGTAAATTAGCTCTACGTTGTGTTGCTTGCGTTGATGAATGCAGGAATGTAAATGCATGAGCTAACCATTTTTGTCTAAACTGTGAAGCAGCATTATATATGCATCATGTGCATGATTTTTCCATATATGGCATTAGTGGAAATATGCTTTTAGAGACTTTTTGGTTGATAAATACGTTTTGCTGTGTAAAAATCACACGCACCTGGTGCGTGCGTGTGTTTAGGTTAGTAAATCACCCCCAATATGTTGTTTCATGCAATGGACCATTTATTTCATCCTGAAATACCCCCTCCATAATTGTTATACCGATGATTTTACAGAACATTAAACATTACTGGGGCAGCAAAAGTTTATAGAGAGAATTTAATTTTTACCTGGGAACAGGTTGTGGAACTAAATAAAAGAGCAAAGTACAGGGTAAGAGCAATATGCGAGAAATATGAGTGACAGATATAAATTCAGACTGAGAGACATTTATGCATGGTGTGGTGTTCCTTCCATGGGATTCTCAAATCTGGAGATTTCTGCTCTGACATAAATGCACTCTGCGCCCTTACTTCCTAATATGATGGCAACAAATAGATGCTGAAGCAGAAAGACTGACCTGTGTTTTTCTGAGGTATGCCATAGTACTGTAGATCACTTGCCCGTCTGTAGGAAGAATCAAATATGGCCTGCCAGTATGAGCAAGGGCATGGGCGTGAATTATACATCCAATAAGGGAATACATTACGTTCATTATAGTACCAGCTCAAACATTGCTGCTTGGAATTCACTGTGTATGCTTTATTATCTTCAAGCCGATATGCCCAGTAGCCTTTTTTATCTGCAGATCGGGGGGAAAAAAACATGCATTTATATTAGATTACGTATCATGTAGAATGACGTGGGTTACCACAATAGACTTGTAATGTTTTCTATGCAATGTATCAGTAAAATGTTTCAGGTGAAGTATCAATGCACTTACTTGTGTTATATCCTCTGTACTGATCAGGAGTGTACCTTTGCTGGATACTGGTGTAGTATTCTGTTTGTGGGTCATTGAATGCTGGGAAGTTGGGACGACCATAATAATAGTCTCCGCTACAAGCAAAACACAACCATGAAAAACACAGTAAATATATAACATCACATTCTGTTTGATAGAGTTGCTTTGCTGCTCATAAAACTTTACATGCATTCTATAAATCAGTAAGCAATAACCTATCACAGTGTGTAAGCCAAGTTTTAATTCTAATAGTTTTTTCTAATCGCATATCTTCAGATAACATTCCAATTGTCACAATCCCATTTATGGTTCTTGTCTTAAAAAAATTTGCATGGATTATGAAAAGTGAATACACTATACACTAAGCTGATTGAATTTAATTTTCTCCATCGATCATTTGCTTTATGTATGAAAAGTTGAGCAACCAATCAAATTTCAGCTAGAACTATTTTACTACACAAAAGGTTATAGGACAAAGAGAAGATGTCTAAAGAATAGGTGTGTGTATCATTTAAAATGTGAAACTAAGGCATGTGGATGCGGCAAATACAAGTCAGATTTTAAATTTTAAGCTCCTCATTAGTAGGGTTTCAGATGTGCAGTGAAAGTGTATGGCAGGGACAGGAGAATGTTCCAGGTGCTTCATTGGATTTAATTGTGAATCACTACAATATGTACAGGGTTATTAAAATAAGGGTGAAAAGTAGTGATGGGCTGAACACACCTGAGTTCGGTTCTAACAAGAACTTTAGAACAGGGAAAAAGTTCTTACAAGAACTTAGAACTCAGTGAAAGTCTATGGGACCAGAACTCATAAAATCAAATGTCCCAATTTTGAAGGCTTATATGCAAGTTATTGGCCATAAAAATGGTATGGGGATTCGGGTACTGCCCTGAGGGACATGTATCAATGCAAAAAACCCTTTTAAAAAATTGCCCTTTGTGAAAAAACGGACGGACGGCAAACTCACATTGGCGGGTTGCCGTACAAAGACGGCTTTATTTTTTCTGCTCAGGCTGTTTGACATACAAACGATCGGCAGCTCTAAAGCCTGCCGATCGCTTGTATGTGCTGGCTGCGCGCCCCCCTCCCAGGTGTCAGGAGGAAGATGGGAGGGAGCTCAGCATCTGCCTCCTTGCTGATCTACCTCTGTACTGTGAATGCGGAAGTGATGTGTAATACATCACTTTGGCATTCACCTGTCAGCCATCTGACTGCTATAGCCAGAGAGAAGAAGCTGATAGAGCATATCTGTGCTTCATCAGCTTCTTTAGGGGTCTCCAGGTGACATTAGGGGTCTTAGAGACCCCTAATGTCTCCATAAGGTGGACCTGTCAGTGTACCTGTGCTATCACATAGGGGGATTGTTATCCCCCCTATGTGATAGCAATAAAATTAAGTGTAAAAAAAAATTACAAAATAAAAGTCACATATAAAAAAAGTTAAAAATAAATAAAAATTTTAATTCCGCTACCCACACGTTTACGCACATATAAACGTAAATACGCGTCAGTTTCACCAGCATGCGAAAACGACAATTGCGTTCCACATGTTACATATCGCCGCAAACATCGAAGTGAGAGCATTCATTTTAGGGCCATCAATCACTGATAACACTAAACTGATGAGCGGTAAAAGCTTTTAAAGCGTTGCCTATGACCAATTTTGGGTATTGTAGTTTTTTGAGGTTTAACAAAAAAACATCGAAACCACAATTTTAAGGCTTGACATGTTTGGTGTCTTTTTACTCGACATGACACCGTATTTTATATTTTAAAAAAAAATTGGGTAATAGTAAATGTTTTATAATTGAATATAGGGGAAACCAAAATAAATCTCTATCTATCTCCAAGCAATTGTATAAAATTAATTTCAGTACAGCGCTGCATGATGGAATAATTGTCAGTCAAAGTACCGCAGCGCTGAATACTGAAAAATGGCCTGGACAGGAAGAGGGTTTTAACACCGTGGACTTCAAGTGGTTAAAGACCTGGTTGTTAAACCCTCTTCCTGGCCAGGCCATTTTTCAGTATTCAGGGCTGCGGTACTGAAATAAATTTTATACCATTTTTTGGGGACAGATAGAGCTTTCTTTTGGTGGTATTTAATCACCACTGGGATTTTTATTTTTTACTATATAACAAAAAGTACCCCAAATTTGCGGGAAAAACCTGTTTCCCTATGAAATGTTATAAAACATTTATTATCACCCCAATTTTTTGATAAAATAATGAAGACGGGGTCACGTCGGCTAAATAGACACCAAACATGTAAAAAGACCCCGAAATCGCAGAAAACGATCACACTGAAAATTGGCCATAGGCGATGCTTTAAATGCTTTTACTGCTCATCAGTTTAGTGTTGTCAGTGATTAATGGCACTAAAATTATTACTCTCACTCCAACGTTCGCGGCAATATGTAACATGTGCGGCCCAATAGGTGGAATCGTCATTTTTGCACGTAAGCACACCTGACGCATGTTTGCATGTGTATGTGGGGGGGGGGCAATTTTTCACACTTAACGTTATTGCTATCACATAAGGGGCTAAGAAACCCCTATGTGATAGCCAATTCACATAACAGGTCCTCTTTATGGAGACACCGGGGTCTCTAAGGCCCCTAATGTCACCTAGGGACCCCAAGAGAAGCTGCTGAAGCAAAGTTCTGCGTCAGCAGCTTCTCACCGGTATTTGTAGCCGGAGAGTGACACTGAATTCGTAAGTGATGTAATATGCATCGCTTCCTGCATTCGGGGACCGGAGGGGTACTGATCTCCCATTGATCTCCTGTGACAGAGTCGCCGTGCCGGTCCCAGCCACATCAGGCACAGCGGATCTCGGGAACGGCACACACCTGTCTCCTTGTTGGCCTTTCAGACATGATGTGGGGCTTATTATACAATTTTATTAGCGAATGTGGGATGGGAAATTGGTGCTTGGGTGCAATACTTTATCAAATGTTGTGCTATAGTGTTGTTGGTACACTATAAACTGTTGTACAATGGCTTCTTATGAAAAAAAAATTACAAACGGGAACATCTGCGACGCGGAAGAGGAAACAGTAATGAAGCAGCAAAAGAATCTGCTGCTGAAAAAAACCAGTACAAATAATACAAGGAAATTAAAAAACAAAATAAAACAAAAACGGGAACACCGGTGACGCAGAAGGAGGAACACCTGTGGCGTAGAAGGGGGAACACCAATGACGCAGCAAAAGAACCTGCTGCTGAAAAAAAAGTTAAAATAATTAAAAAAGAAAAAAAATGGCAACACTGGTGACACAGACAGGAACACCTGGGAATCCACTGACACACACAAAAAAAAAGACAGCGACTATACAGCATGTAACATCATGCTGTGCATTACTTTAGCCAATCAGGGCTCTGACAATGCAGTGTGCGGTGCACAGTGCATTGTGGGACGCCCAACGGGCGAACCGCCTGACGAACGTCCTGATAGTTCTTGTGTTCGCCGAACACAAGAACTAGTAATGTTCGAGTCAAACAGTTCTTCGACTCGAACATTGAGACCATCTCTAGTGAATAGTTTGGAGAAGGCAGGAGAAGTGAACAATCTAGGACAACATGGCTGATTTGGAAAAATTCTCCAATTTAGCTCACTTTCTAGTTCAGATATGTTGTCCTAGATCGTTCACTCCTCCTGCCTTCTCCAAACTCTTCCCCCTTTTGTGAATAATCCTGTATATCAGTGGTCCCCAACCCCCGGGCCACGGACCGGTACCGGTCCATGGATCAAATGGTACCGGGCCGCCGAAGGAACATTAAATTATTTACTGTGGTGTATTTCTCTCGGGTTTGTCCGACTTTCCAGGACGAGAGGTTAACAGGGAGCTGAGAGACGTCACCTAAAGCCGCACCAATACCGCGCATGCGCAAAATATCGTGATATCGGGGCGGTTTTAGGTGACGTCTGGAGCTGAGCGGCTGCAAGTGGCAGTGGCGTTGTAGCTTTGGTAAAGAGAAGGTGTGTATCGCTCTTCCCTCTTTTCACCGGTACTTTATCATGTTTAACAGTGCTTGGTGTATGTGTATATTGTGTTTGCTCAAATTTAACCCACAAATTAGCAAAAATGAGTACGAAACAGACGTCGTTAGAAAGTTTCCTTGGGAAAAAGAAAAGGCCCAGTGAAGAGACAGAAGAAGGGCCTTCAACATCAAAGAAACATGTAACTTTTAACAGACAATACCATGAGTCCTACTTGAAATATGGATTTATCGGGACAGGTGATTCCCACACACCAGTGAGTTAAAATGTTAAATCACTTTATATTCATTTTTTGGTGTAACTGTATTTTATTTTGAAGGCATGTTTAAATACAATTAAATTAAAATTATTAAATCAAAACAATCTAAAAAATAAACAATCAACGCCCCCCCCTCAGCGGGCCGCCTTAAAATGATCAAACGTTGACCGGTCCGTGGCGATAAAAAGGTTGGGGAGCACTGCTGTATATGATCCACCCCATCCAGATGGCGAAAGCTCAAAACTGAGTCTGTTATGTTTACCAAATTATAAATGTCATAAATGTTGCTGAGATCTGGATTTTCCAGTGAAGAATTGGATATCCAGGTGCTCAGCAAACAGGACTTGGAAATTTGGAAAACACTTGGAGGGTTATTCACAAAGCTGCCGAAGGATCTAGCCGTAGCTTCGGTTGATCCTTCGGCTAGCTCCGGCCCCAGGACCCCTTCGGTTCAATAGAACCGAAGGGCTGCTGTACGGGCTATTCCCTATAGCTCGTACAGCTCCCAAAGTTGGCCGAGCGGCTCAGTCGAGCCGAAGGCATATGATTCGGCTCGACTGAGCCGAGGTGAAAGCCAAAGCTGGCAGAATGGCCGGCCATTAGCCGGCTGACAGCCTGCTACTGACAGCTGGGCTGAGCCAGCCGTCATCTCACGGCTGGCTCCAGCAACTTGCAGAGACAGATCAGCGTCCCTGGTTACCTGGTAACCAGGGACGCTGATCTGTCATTACACTGAGAACCCGGCGGAGCAGCCCTGATATCACGGCGGCTCCACCTAGTTTTCAGTGTGTAATGACAGTTCAGCGTCCCCTGGTTACCTAGTGACCAGGGGATGCTAAACTGTCATGAGAGCTTGGCGAAGCCAGCGGTGATATCAAAGCATGTTTGGCTGACCCGAAGCCAGCCGCAGCAAGCCCATGTACTGCTCAGTTCAGTCGGTATATGGCTGAAATCAGCCGTACAGGGCTGAAATTAATAGTCGAACAGCGTTCGGCTCACTCCACTTCGAGCCGGTTATTCACACGGCTGCCTTCGGCAGCTTTGTGAATAACCCTCTTGGTCAGTGAATATGCTTTGTAACTGTGCCAAAAAGTCCCAAAAGTATTCAGTGAACAGATTGTTTGCTGCTTTATAAAAATGCCCCAAAGAATTTGATTGATTGCTATAGGTGACACAACTACATTATTTAAATATATTGTATGAACAAACTGTTAAGAATATTGTCATTAAACAATATTCATTACGGACGAAACATTAATAAAGTACTTGACATTTCCATGCTTGTCTGTTAGACATATTGGGGTTGATTTACTAACCTTATAAACACACCACGAACATGTATACACCTCTGTAGTGTGTTCCCTCCGAGCATGATCTATGGGTGGAATCTAAACACCTTTGTAGTGTGTACACACCCAGCAGGTGTGTTGTGCAAAGCCCTGCATGAATTCCAAGGTGATGTTGTGTAAATTAGCTCTATGTTGTGTTGCTTGCGTTGATGAATGCAGGAATGTAAATGCATGTCTAAACTGTGAAGCAGCATTATATATGCATCATGTGCATGATTTTTCCATATATGGCATTAGTGGAAATATGCTTTTAGAGACTTTTTGGTTGATAAATAAGTTTTGCTGTGTGAAAATCACACGCACCTGGTGCGTGCGTGTGTTTAGGTTAGTAAATCACCCCCATTTACTCAAACAAAAAAATTACCTATAATAGCCCATTTTGGGTAAGTAATTTGAAGGAATTGAGTAATAATTCCATTTCATTCCCCCATCTGCATAACGCATCAAGCAGAACGAGAAGATGCCGTCTGTGACAAGTACAGCTTGATAGGTGCTTGTCTGCAAGGAATATGTAAAGGAAAATCATGAAAACAGGTCAGTCATGCAGAATAATAATCTGTATTACTAGCTAAGGGGATGATAGAGTGACTGAAATGTTATTTCTAGCCATGTAAACCTGTAACTAGCTACTGCAAACTAAGGCCCCATTCACACTGAGCGACATGAAAATCGCGCAATTTTGAGCGATATAGCGCGACGAGCAATATTGAGCGACTTTTTCCTATTGGGCTGTATGCAATCAGGAGCAATATCGCTCGAAATCGCTCGAAAAAAGGGTCATGTAGGAGCGACAAGCTACCAGCGACGAGCTACAAGCGATATTGAGCGATATTGAGCAACGAGATGTGAACAGCTCCATTGAAATGGATTGGAGAAGCTACATAGAGCGATATCGCGTGGAAATATGAGCGATATTGCTGCAAAAATCGCGCGATAAATCGCTCAGTGTAAACCGCGATTTGCATATTGCGCGATATCGCGAGATTTGCCGCGCGATATTGCGTTCAAAATTGCATTGAGCAAGCTTGAATCGCGGCTAAATCCGCTCCAATAAGGGTCCTGCTGTAGCGACACACGACCTGCGACAGCAACACCCTTTGCCCCATTGAAATGCATTGAAGAGCGATATCGCGTGGTAATTTGCCGCGATATCGCGGGAATTACCGCACGATAAATCGCTCAATGTGAACGGGGCCTAAAGGTTATGGGTGCATTACAGAGGAAGCATAGTCATATTAATATTTGTAGTCATATTTATATTTGTTTCGCTATACAAGTGAAAGAGATCAGCTTGTAACAAATATTATCAATGAAATTAAGGTTTTAAAAACCTTGTTTCTCTGCATTATTTGTATATAAGAATGTTCTTGGGGGCAGTTATACTTGCTCATTACACGCTTTCTGCTTTGCAGTGCTACACAATTGCTGTGAAAGGGTGATTAACATGCTGTTATACAATGGACATGTCCCTTTAATATTTCAGTGTCATTGTTTAATAAAAGTATATATTTAATGATGTACATGCATATAAATACCATGTTGGTGGTACAGTGAATTTATTTTTTACCCATGGTCTGGTAATAGGCAGCAGCCAAAGAGAACAGTGTGTGATAGGAGAGTGCTATAGGCACATAGTGAGTAGACACCAGTAATTTATTGACCCTGTCAGTCCTTTGTCCCAGATATGCCTCAGTAACTGACCATCAACCAGCAGGAAGTATATATATACAGCTTACTGAAGCCATTTGTGTTTGGAGACCCAGAGGCAGCTGTCCTGAAATGAGAGGGAGAACCAAACTCTTCATTGCTGCATCACAGGACTACATGAAGTGACTTGGAGCCACAGGAGGATTAGCTAAAATTAGGGTCGGTCACTGCGTGGTAGAAGCCAGGGGCAAATAACTACCCTTTCTGGTAGTGGATAAATGCACTGCAGCAGGGCTCAGAAAGTCCAACACTGCTGAGTACAGAAACAGCTTTGTTGTAGTGTACCTGGTGTAAAGAAATATCTGTGGCCATCACAACACATGAACATGAACATCATGCATACATTCTAGTACAATTTTACCTCTGCAGCATTGAAGAAATATGCAGGATATGGTAAAACTCGATCCCAAGTTATCTTTATTGCCCAGAGAGCCTTGAAATTTGAAATAGGGAGGGAATATTTATTTATTTCTGATTCAAGTTTAGCTTTGAAGTCTGCATCCTGGTATGGGTTGGCCTGGAAGTCATAAATCTGGAAAGTAAAAAACCAAATTGTGTGAAACAACCTCTCAGAGCTCATCACAAAGACAGTTAAACATTTGAAAACAAGGTAACAGCCACGGAAAATTCTTAATAACATTATGGGGATTTGTGTTCGGGTGAATGATAATTGAATAACTGATTAATGAAAACAGAACTTGGACATACAGATGTTTACTAAATAGGTAACATAGCAGATTATAATGTACCAAGCCTCTCTCTAAAAGAATGCTATATTGTGTGCAAACCGTGGCTACTTTTTACTCAGAGGATTGGAAGTGTTTCTAAGGTCAAAACTTATTTTTAGTTTTGAATAGAGTAGAAAAGTGTTAGAAGCTCTGTTAAGATATTATTGCCATGTCCCAGTGAATATTTATCTGCTGTAGGGATGAGATTTGAGTTTGTGGCTCAATCTTTTACCTAAACTGTATATGTTCCCAGTTCCTTGAATGGGCAAATTAAATGGACAGTTTGGCCACCTGCAGAACTTCTGGATGCTGCCTCCAGAAGCCATGTCATGTTGAAAGGAATCCCCGGCTGCTTTATTTACAAACAGAACAAAGTGGAAGGAAAATATAATTTAGCGCAGTTTTAAAGGTTTTTTTTGTTCTTTGTAAATATCACTTTTGCATAAGTACTTTGTACAGATGAGCAACATCACCTGCAGGTCTAAGGCATCCCCCAAGCATGTTAATTGATAGAATTGTGTAATGTTAAGGAAGGGATTGTGGGAAGTTATGTTTACTCTAATTAACCCTGGCTGTTCTGTGCTAGAAAATTTCATTATCAGCTGTTAAGTTTGAACGCTGTCTGTCCTAACACGACTAATATACACAGGAATAGACGGTTCTATTTTTTTTTTTCGTTCAACCTGTGCGCTGAATGAAAAAAAATTTGAACATATTACAATCATTGGTCGACGAATTCACTGCTGATTCTGTTGTATTCTGACAGCATATGCTGTCAGAATACCCAAACGTTATGCCAACTCTGCCAACAATTTTCCAACCTGCTCCTTGATCAGCTTATTGAGGGAGGCCAGCAGGAAGGATGGGGACAGTGGCACCCAATGTGCAAATTTTGTATGGTTCATGAAGAACTACTTTAGAAGCATTGCATATTAATGAGAGGAAGCTTAGTTTGTCTTTTTAATGTCTATTTCAAACTGCTCAGAGTAGCCTGCAGTCTGCACAAAGGTCTTCACCAAAAAACATATTTGTTTTTATTATTTTCGGGTATGCTGTTTGAATAGGAACACATAACAAACATATAGTGGAGTTTTCTCAAATTGTACCTTCAGATCTTTTTGGAAGAGCCGCTTTCCAGTGAATTGTATTTTTTAAAACATTTGTTTGCACTGGTACATGTCCACCATGACAGTGACCAGGTACCCATGCTCTTTTTTCCAAAAATCTTGTAAATGTGCCTTAAAAAGGGCTAGAAACAAATAAGATTTGACTCCCATAGGCTTCAGTGGGGTTTGCTGCTCTGTTTGTGGTTCACAAATGTTGTCAATTGTTCAGCGAAAGTCCAACAAACAGAAACTCTGCTCAGTTCGCTCATCACTGTGTGTTCTGGTGAACATTTCCATTAGGAATGAAAGAGAAGGACAATCCAATATTTTGAATTTGGAATAGGAAGAAAGGGAACATCTTCCAACGAGGACACTTGTTTTGGTGACAACTGAGATGTTCTATAACTTCCTGATGTGTAAAGGTGATTCCACCCAATGAGGCAGAGAGGGCAAACAAACTTCAGAGAGGTTTTTATCATTTCTTGTTCTAACCAAAGCTTAATAAGGTGTTGGCTTTAGATATGCTCTAAATAGCAGGCTTCATGATAGCTGATTTGTAAATGTTGATATGGTTAATGGCGACAAGGATTTGAAATGTAACAGTGGCAATACATTTCAGTCTATGTAATCTCATTTAGAAAGAGAGCCTATGTGGGGTGGTATAAACTGAATGGCATGTTAACTAAGCCCTTGCACTATATAGCTGTTGATATATCCAAGGGAGATATTAAAATGAGATGGTAATGTGAGTGGTGAGCTTTACTGTGACTTTTATAATGTTGTCAAGCTGCGCTGCTCTACTGTGATCCTGTTTTACATGATTTAAAAAAACAATAATAATAATTTCATGTTTACATCACTTTAAGTTACAAGCAAACAGCAATCATGGGTGGGGTATAATAGTCGTAGCTGTTGAAAGAGCTTAATGGGTAAGGCATTGTGTAAATGGGGTCATAAGAATTGCGACGAAATATGATAGCACCATTGTCCGTGAACTGTGGAAAAGAAAAAAATATTCATATTAATTAGTATAGGCAGAGGAAGATCTGGAAATGCATGGTACATAAGGGTTGATGACAATATCTGACATAATGCAGCATTATTTACAGCCAAGCTTTTAGGAATGGGTTGCAAGAGGCACTAGTTTTCATTTAGCCGTGGCAGAACCCCCAAAATGTAGAGTTTACTTGTATTAGTAAGATAGGAAGTGAGGAGAATAGGGCTGATTTACTAGAGGAAGTTGAGAATCTTCATGCAATAAATTGTGTGAATATTTAATTCAGTTATCCAATCACGTGAAAAACATCTGCACATGATTGGGTATTCACAGTGATCAGGAATTTGCTTTTCACAAAACCTCAATACATGAAGTGAATATTTATACACTTTTTTAAATAAAGATTCTGAACTTCTTTAGTAAATCAGCCTGAATACCTCCAACATAAACAGCAATAAAGGTGTTTTTATGAGAAGAATTGGAAAGAGTTCTTGTTGTTGTCTGTGTCACTGTTGACAAAGTTTGTGGTATCACAAAGATAAGAAGGATAACAATAAATACCTGAAATATAGCCTAACCCCTTTCTCTGCTTCCTCTTGGCCACTCCCAATCCCATGAGAATGCATTCCTGCAATGGGCTAGGGTGCATTTTTTGGGGATTTCCAGTGCCCAGCTATCCTAGGTGGCAGCACAAGACACGGTAATGTCACACATGCATACAGGTGAATATTTTTTATCTCTTTTTTGTCAAATCTTTATTTTTACAGCTTTGGTTAGTGCTAATTTTGGGGGGGCTGCGGGGGCGGGCAGGGAAATGGACCTTCCATTTTTCACTAAAAAGGTCCACTTTAAATGTCTGATATTTTATCACCAGTAAAGTTCTTGTAGTTTATTTTTTGTTGATCCATTATTGAGATGTATAGTATAAAAATCCTTCTGTTAATTTATTTTCCCTCCTTGTTTTTGCTTTAACATAAATGTTTAACATAAATGTTTGTTAAGAATTTTTTTAAAGCAAACTGAAACGAGCTAAGCTTATTTTTCTCTAATGTTAATTGGGGGTGTGGTGCCACCCACTTGGCTCACACTCCTTTAACCCTTGTTTAATGTTTTCAATTAAGTAACTTCCAGTGTCTCCTATCCTCTGGAACTCCGTACCCCAATCTGTCTGCTTATCTTCTAAGATGTCCAGTTTTTGGTGATCCTTGAAAACTCCACTCTTTAGGGAACCCTATGTCCTTTTACTTCTTCCATTAAAGTGACATTAAACCCTCAGATTTTTTAACATAAACCAATACTGTAATGTGTGCCTTACTGTAATCCATGGTAGTTTCCCTTCTCTTTGCTGCTCTTCCTTTTAAAATCAGTATCTCTTCTCATGCTTGGGGAGAACTTCCCTTTGCAGCTGAGTGCCTCTTCCTGTAGTGCTGGCTCAGGTTGCAAACCTACACACAGACACCATATATCCATTCCAGAGACAAGGCAGTCTGCTGCAAAACAGAAGTTCTGCCCAGCATGAGAACAGATACAGATTTAAAAGGAAGAGCAGCAAAGAGAAGGGAAACTAAAAATCTGAGGGTTTAATGTCACTTTAACTCATCCCATACAATTATTACCTTTTGTATCACTTACCTCTCCTACTAGATTGTAAGATCTCACGTGCATGGCCCTCCTAACCCTCCTGTATCGTAATTGTAATGTAACTGTACTGTCTCCCTCTATTTTATAAAGCATTGCACAAACTGTTGGCGCTATATGAATCGTGTATAATAATAATAACTGCTTTCTAGAATTTTTAGACCTCTTGCACATGATTTGGAGACTCAGAAAACAAATTCTGATATTCGCAAACATCGAGCCAAACTTACAATCAATTATACAACATTATTCCACTTAAGTGAAAAAAAAACTCTTAGATCTGATCTCAGGTACTATTTTCATTAGTCCAATGCTATGTCTTATAAGTAAGAAACTCACAAAACAAAAATGTAAAAACTAACAGTAAATTTGTGTTGCATATCACATCAATTATGTGTGGTCTGTCTGGGTGATATTCCTAATAATTTCACTTCTATGTGCCTTTCAAGATTATGCTTTCTTCTGCTAAATGCTTCATTCACACGGACCTTTCACAGCCGGTTGAGTACCTCCTAATGACCTGTGTTTGGGGGTTTTTTTTAATCCCAAAGGGGATTTTACATTGAAATGCTGCACATGCAACTGCATTAAGCATGGGATTCTTGAACCGTCCCATAGACTTTAATGGACTGTTTTGGTAAGTGGCACTGTGGCAATGTGTACAGACCTGACAAGCCATGGTGTTAGTTTGCAGGTATGCTATTGGGGCAGTAAAAAGCCCCCATGAGAACTTACCCTAGTGATTAGCTTAGTATGTACTGTATCCAACATTACTTCCAACTGTTTCACTCTACTTAAATTGAATATATTATGTTAATTGTATATATTTATTTATTTTATTTCTTTAATTTCAGATATAAAAATATATTAGTATTTTTTGGTAAATATAGTATATTTTGTATTTTTATTTTAGATTTATATTTTCCAGGTAGCAAGTAGAGCTCAAGGTTTCTTTTCTCATCTTCTTGGGCTAACCTTAAAGAAGAACTATGAGGCGAGTGATTTCCACTCATCCTCATAGTTAGAGCTGACCTGTGACAAAGAAGCTGTCACAGGTCAGCTCTATTGAAGAGAGCGCGCAATCACCACTCCACCCTCCACTCTCCGATCCTCCAGCGCTGAGTGCCCGCGATATACTGAGAGTGCCGCAGTCGGGACAGATCCTGACAATACTGTCGAGATCCACCCAGCTGCGTGAGTGACAGCTGGCTCTGCCTATCTAGAGGCAGAGCCAGCTGTGCCCGCCCCCTTCCCCGTCCCTTCCACCACTCAGCGTTGGAGGATCGGTAGCTATAGCTATAATTACAAAAACAGCTGAATTAGTGAGAAAAGTGACTCATTCCCTTCCCTGCTCTATAATACTCCATAAAGACGATTAATGCTATTTGACACTTGTGTTATGTGTTTATTGGTACAATAAAGATTTATGTAAACAGTAAAATAAGGAAAATAAATTAAACATAAAAATAAATAAATAAACTTAACGTATAATAAAACATGCTCAAACCCTTATTGTTTTCCTATAGTGTTTTCATTTTTGTTTTGTTTTTCTTTATCTGCAAGATCTTTATAGTGCAGGTATCAGGATTTTCTTTTAGGTGTGCAATCATATGCTGTGAAATATGTTAGTTCATATACAATCACTGGACCAGGGGCGGTGTCCCACACACATGCACCCTGAAACATAGGTAAATAATATACTAGATATACTAGATATGGGGGGCCTCTTGTGTGGTCACTGATATCACTAAAGAGCCACACATTATATTCAGCATATGTAATGACTGTGTAATGAGACCTTGGATATGCAACAGGAGATGGTCCGAGTCTAGGAACGTTTTTGAGACTGCAAGATCACTGCTATAACAGACTCTTTACAAATCAATGTTCCTACACTTGTGCTGCCTACAAACCTCTTAAAAATGACTGTCTCCACATTTGATATCCCTCATACTGCCCAAATTGTGAGCTTGCCCCTGGCGGCATTACAATGGTTATAAATGCATGACTTACATATAATGTGCTGTAAAAAGAGCCACCAAAAGGAAATCCCATTGGGATGTTGATCATAGGAGAGACAAAATCCTTGTAGCGCTGGGTTGCTCTGTACCCACTAAGATAGTCAAACAGTCTGTCCTCTAGAAATTAAAGAAAAGAAATCATCCATTTATTTAGATTACAAATTATACATACTTACATACTTCCACGTTTTCCTATGTTCATTGCACATGTGGAACTGTAACATGCCTCTGTGTGTACACTAAATATTCACAAGAAGTATACTTCTGCATAAGTTGAGGAGATACTCAGATTAACCGCTTGCCGTCCGCCCGTTGTGAAAAAACGGTCGGACGGCAAACGCACATTGGCAGGTTGCCGTAAATAGACGGCTTTTTTTTTCTGCTCGCACGTGCCCCCTAGCGCCCGCACAGGGGCAGAAAAAACCCATCCATTGTAAACAGCCATTACTGACTGTTTCACATACAAGCGATCGGCGGCTCTATAGCCTGCCGATCGCTTGTATGTGCTGCCTGCGTGCGCCCCCCTCCTCTAGTGCCGCCGTCGCTGTCCCGCTGCCGCCACCCCTCCTGCACCCTCAGCTTCAATCCCGGGATCTGTTGCCCCATCTGCGGCCCGGGACCGGCTCTGGAGGGTGTCAGGAGGAAGATGGAAGGGAGATCAGCATCTTCCTCCTTGCTGATCTCCCTCCGTAGTGTGAATGCGGAAGTAATGTGTAATACATCACTTTGGCATTCACCTGTCAGTCCCCTGGCTGCTATAGCCGGAGAGAAGAAGCTGATGAACCAGATCTATGCTTCATCAGCTTCTTTTGGGGTCCCCAGGTGACATTAGGCGTCTTAGAGACCCCTAGTGTCTCCATAAAGAGGACCTGTCAGTATGCCTTTGCTATTATATAGGGGGATTGTTATCCCCTATGTCAGTGGTGGCGAACCTTGGCACTCCAGCTGTTCCAAAACTACAAATCCCAACATGCATCTGCCTCTGGGAGTTATGTCTGTGGCTGTCAGAGCCTTGCAATGCCTCATGGGACTTGTAGTTCCAAAACAGCTGGAGTGCCGAGGTTTGCCATCACTGCCCTATGTGATAGCAATAACATTAAGTGTATAAAACAATTTAAAAAAGTAAAAGAATAATAAAAGTCACAAATAAAAAAAGTAAAAAAAACACCCAAAAAAAAAAAAGTCCCCCACCCCCATGTTTACGCACATATAGACGTAAATACGCGTCAGATGCGCCAGCGCGCGAAAATGACAATTGCGCTACACATGTTACATATCACTGCGAAGGTCGGAGTGAGAGCCATAATTTTAGGGCCATCAATCACTGATAACACTACTGTAAACTGATGAGCGGTAAAAGCTTTTAAAGCGTCACCTATGGCCAATTTTGGGTATTATAGTTTTTTGAGGTTTCGCGGGCCCGCGCAATTTTAAGGTTTTGACATGTTTAGGTTTTTTTTACCCGCTGTGACCCCGTCTTTTATATTTTACCAAAAAATTGGGTAATAATAAATGTTTTATAATTTAATATAGGGAAACTATTTTTATTTTTATTTTTTTTCGGTAATACTTCCTTACTGTAGTCAAAAATTAAAAAACCCCAGTGGTGATTAAATACCACCAAAAGAAAGCTCTATCTGTCCCCAAACAATTGCATAAAATTAATTTCAGTACAGCGTTGCATGATGGAATAAAGGTCAGTCAAAGTACCTGCAGCGCTCAATACTGAAAAATGGCCTGGAGAGGTTTAACCCTGCGGACTTCAAGTGGTTAAAACATATAATTCATACCGACGTGAAAACGTTATACTGTACATACTTTTTTTGAGGGTACCGGAATTGAAATATGTTTCCAGCCCTGGCTTAGAACTTGAGTATCGTTGTGGTTTAGCATAAGTAATAATGGGGAATAATAGGCAAAATCATATGAAAATGAAAGTCTGGGTTGCAGCCCCTTGTAATTGTGCTACCTATGTACGGAGAAGGCAGTGACTCTAAACTTTTGTTAACAAAATAACCAAAAAAATAAAGTAGGCATAAGAATACAAATAAACATCTATGTCCTAAAGATTTGCCTATCTAAAGACTTTACAAGGAGATCATTTAGCCATACCTCTACAGGTAAATCCATCCCCAGTGTATCCAGAATTGCATGTACAGTAATAAGCTCCATCTGTGTTTGTACAGACTGCATTACCACTGCATCTGTTTTGTCCATTTAAACATTCATTTACATCTGAAAAATAAAAGTATATGTGAGCTTATTAATTCTGTCTCATTATTGTCAGCATTTCTATCATAAAACAGTCATAATAATAATAATAATAATAGATGTATCATTACCAACAGTACAAGACTTCCCCTGCCAGTTAGCTGAACATGAGCAATAGAAATCATTTATCAGATCAACGCAGACTCCGCCATTCCTGCATGAAGTGCTTGTACAGTCATTAATATCTGTAATCACAAAAAAAGGACATTAATGTATGCCAGATATGGGTTACATTTATTTGTATACATAACTGCAATAAAAGGCAGATCAAGTCTTAATCACTCAAACCCGTCCCTACCCACCCAACCTCTGTCCTATAAACACCACTTTGCCCACAGTTGGATACACCACACCCATTTTGGCTATGCTCTGCCTATCTAAGGCTCAGAAAATTGCCACCCACATCGGTCCAGGTGTAGAACAAGAATTTGAATATTGTACTACTCACTTATTTCACAGAACCTGCCAGTGAAACCAGGAGCACAAGTGCAGGAGAAAGCATTGATTCCATCTTTGCATGTGGCACCATTTCTACACGGGTTGCTCAGACACTCGTCAATATCTGTGGGTGTAGAAACAAATATTAGGTAAATGCGGAATTACAGATTAAAGATTGCAGGGATGAAGTCTTGAATACAAACCAGGTTATTTCTATTAATGCTGACTGAAAGGTTTATAATGACTCACTTACTGGATTGACAGGTGACCCCAGTGAATCCAGCTTTACAGACACAT